ATGCAAAAATAAGATAACTTTCAATGATCGACGATAGTGCAATTATGATCTTTGACAATAATTTTCAGTCACAGAAAACAATGAGTTTACCAACAACTCAAGATGAATAGGCAAAAAATATGCTAAATATAGACAGAAAACAAACGACGCAATGTTTATACCGATCGAGATTAATGTAAATATCTCGATACATTCGATTAAATATGAGTTTGCAATTTGCACAAAGTCTATCATTCGGTCAAATAGATTCTGCAGATAAGCGCGTGCGCGAGACCAAAACGAGCTGCGTCAAACAAATCGCAGTTATCAGTCGCACGTGAGTTTATCAAAAGCCTTGAGACAGGGATGCTCCCGGGATTGAGAATTCTTGCATCATCGTTCCATTTGCTGCATTTCTCCTCTCGAATTGTTTCGCGCTCGCTAATATCTTTCGAATAAATGCGTATTCCATTACGTTCATTCTTCTTCTCGCTTTTATGTTCGAGCAGTGCATAAATTTGATATAATATACATCGATATCTCACAGGTAATATTCCCAAGCGAGTGACTCAGACGTGTATGAGTGCGTACGTGTGTCTATGTACGTGTAAGTGCAAAAACTCGAGGGTAATCACGTATATAGCTTATCGAGCGTTGCACGCGAATTCTTTTCTCAATCTATGTATTATATACTATTCGTGTGTGAGCTGCGCGTGTCGCCCAATGCTGCTTATTTGTGCTACACTTAATTTTTTTATTTTTTTTTCAATTCTATTGCGACGAATCGTGCCATACCACAGCCACGCGAGTTGTCCGATGTTGACACAACGAGCTGCGTTTCTGATTTCTTTCCGCGAATTCCCCGCCGCGCGTACACGAGCTGTGTAAGCGCACACCTTTGCACTGCAAGCTGCTTCACATTTATTTGTACCGACCACGCGACATCTGCAAACGCGTATGAAGTTTTTGAAAGGTTTTAGATTTTGATCGTATCATTCAGGTAAATGAAAGCTGACCCAGTGAATGGATCAATTAAATTCAATTACTTGCGAGCGGGTGAGTTACCACTTTCACTTCGATCGTTATTCCTAAATGTGTCGTGCACATTTCAAGCACGTGTAATACACGTACTTACACACGCAACGGAAAAACTAGGCTGGAATTGTATCACGGGAGTAGGAGCGCATCCGCATGAAAGACAGGTCAACGAGGAGGATCGATTATTCGAAGGCGAAATAAGGGCGTGCATTAAAAGGCTGGAGGCGCGCGCGACGTTGCATACACGTTATACTACATGCTGCGAGGTTTATACATATAGTTATAGGTAGGTGTAGAGTTGCAGTTGTGCCTGGCTGTACACTCATTACAGACTCGTTCGTCCATACACGCACACACACGTACGAGTGTGGCGCGCTGCATACTTATACAAGCTCACGAGATGACGTCAGTACCGGCCGCGGCGGGGATCGACGAGCCCCCAGCACGTCGGCCAATCGGCATCGACCGCGACCGAGGTTCTTTATACATGACTCAAAAACTATTTATATATTATGTGTAGGCACGTAGGTATATTTGCCGTAGCTCGCTTTTTTCAGCTGTTTTGCCCCCTCGTCCATATAATACATCGTGTATGTTGCCTTATGTCCCTTTGTGTACAAGAGCGCCACGAATCTTTTTTTCCAGTTTCGCGAGCACGTGTGCCGCGATCAGCTTCTTCCGAGAAAAACGAGAGCTCGCGTCGGGCGTGCATGGCATGAACTGTAGATAGTTTGCTCGAGTGACAGTAAGTGCAGTTGAAAAAAGGGAGAGAAAAGTGAGTATATAATTGTAGGCGAAAGATAAGGAAAACCTGCATGGTGTACGGCGTCTAGACGAGGCATTAAACAAACCGTTGGAGGGAGTGGACACGTACAATCAGCCTCTGTGAGCGCCGAGGTTATTGACACAAAAGTCACGCGTATATACTACGCACCTCGCGTACTCGCACAAAGGCAAAGAATGGCCATATTAGCTCTCGCGCCCATATGCTCTAGTCTTCATTTCGCGTATAAATAGATTTATCTGCGCGTAACGGAGTTATATGTTCTCTTACGATATCCTCTGAGCGGGGAAATTTTTTTCGCGCAGCAGCTCGGATAATCATAGGCGAGTAGGAGAGAGAGAGAGAAAGAAATAATGACGCAAATCTGCCGACGACGACGGAGTTGCGTAGAAATTGCATCAGTCGCTGACATTGGGCGGCGTGAAAGGACTCGGCCGGGGCTCCGATTTGGTTCGAGCGTTCAGAAAAAGCTGATGTAACTATTATTAACCTTTAGATTTTTCTTCTAATCGCAATGGTATAAGCATTTAACTGTAGTTTTGATAAAGAAATAATTGTGTTTAAATACGTTAGGCTCGACACGTTAATTGCGGCCTCTGTTTATAAATAGACAATGGAATACAAAAAAGTCGTAAATTTCTAATGAATCCTCACTCTGTGACAGTATACAGATAAGTGGTGTCGAGCCTACTGAGATTTTGATTGGATTTTCATTGATTTTTGTCAATTATTTAAAAGCAGTCGTGAACAATTTGACGAGCCCACAAATGTAGATAAAAGTTAAATGCGCGTCGCGACGTCCGTAAACATGATACGGATTGCAGTGTGGTAAAAGATCGACGTATTGATTTTTAATCGCTGCCACACGGTGACTCGCGAGCTCATTTTTTTCCTCGTTTCTTTTTTGCTACACGAGTGGCATGGATTTCGAATATAATAGTCGTTCGTCGCCGGTACGTAACAAAAAGACAAAAAACGGTAGAAAAAAAATACGAGAAAAAAAAGGTAGAGTCGCCAGTCTAACCGAGATGTGTATACGTATTACTGCACCATGTAATTACGCGACTCGTGACGAATATGTCGTCAGCTGCTGCTGCTGCTGCTGCTGCTGCGAATGGTGCAATAGCGTACAGACGCTGTGTACAAAGCACACACACATATAGTGGCGCACGGAAATTTTCACGTGCACGCACACACATCTGAGATTGCATGTATCGTATGCAGCGGCGCTGACCTCTAAACGTCCTCGCGGCCGAGCCTCCCCGTTAAGGCCGCCGTACCGACGCCGATGCCGCTCCGACGCCGCCGCCGCCGCTGCGACGCGCGCCGTACACGCTGCGCACTGAGCAGTAGCAGCAGCAGCAATAAGTATAAGCTTTCACCACGCCCACTTTGGCTTTTCTTTCTCCATCTCGCTTTAGCTCTAGCTTTATACTAGCTTTATACTAGTACCTCTATCTCGCGTTGTGGCATACGAAAACGTCACTGCAGCTGCACGCACGGACACGGAATATATCGTTACACGCGTGGCTTGAGCCGCATTACATCTCTATACGCCCGCGAAAATGTATTTTTACTTTTATGGAAGCTCGCATCGCATTTGCGAGCTATCGACGAGTCCCAATTATTGATGAGAGAATCACTAACAATATGATAAACTGAACGCGGTGTAGGATATATTAAGCAGGAAAATTGTTGCATCAGCTGCTGCATATATTATATACTGCAAGGCGGCTACCACCGGCCTGTTTCTGTGTATATTTAAACATAATACGAGCATGGTAGCTAGGCAGTGCAATATCGGCTTATCTGACCGTAAAATTAACGCGCTCGCTCGTTTACCCGCGCGCCGCTAGTTTTTAAACACGCCGAGAGGCTTTATTTATATGTAGCACGTTTTTTATGTTTAACAGAAAAAAAAGCATGAATGTACATAAATGTATCGATACGGCGCGTGTACGGATGCGGGGTGATACGTGTCCGTTTTTTCTGCCGCGTATGGGCAATCATGTAGCAGCAGCATTATATGCGCTGACCTTGTGAATATTTTTCGACGATGGCACGTGAAGAAGCTGCCGGGACCATATTATAGAGCTGGCGTGTGCGTGAGTGCGCGCGGAGAGAAAAAAACCAGTTTCTCCGCAGAGTGCCCCCCCCCCGTGCTCGATCAAATTTTTCTCATTTTGTTTCCTGAATCGCGAATTCCAATAGGAGCGCTAATATATATTTCAGCCGATAAACGAGCTTTGCTCCGGTATGCTGGAGCGTTAGAGACGAGCCCCCGGTTTTTCTCTTCGCTTTTTTGTCTGTTACTTCCCCTTCTATGCTTTCGGAGATGCGGTACACGTGTGCGCGACTGTATACAGGCGTGAGGCATCTCACGTACTCACATTTTTTTCTTGTTATACAGCACGCGTATGAAGAAGATGGGATCGCGTGAGCAGCTGTCAGCTAAGAATATGTGTATATATGTATCCGTGCTTTTTCACGGTACATAACAAAGCGACTGTTGTGTGTGTGTGTATATTATAGACATACTTATATATGTATGAAAACGGAGCGCGTAAATACACGCAATCAATTCGTAATAATGCCATTATGACATAACTTCTTCATTACTAGGTGAAATACACGATATATTGTTAGAGCCGGAGCAGCTGTATTACGTTCGCCGATGTGTGTACGTACATTTGTTGTCATGTACGATTCGTGCTCATTGTTTGTTGATTTTTCCGAGCCGCGGCTCGACGCGTCGGCGGCGTATTACATCGCAAGTTCAAACCGATGGATTATACTTTACACGGGGCCGATAGCAGATAAGAGGACGACTCGTGACATCTTAAAAGGCTATCGCAGAGTGCAGCAATTACCATTCGTTTTCTTCCTCTATTTTATTTTTATCTTTTTTTGCACTTCTGTTTCATCTGGCTGAGAGAGAATGAGAGAGAAAAGAGAAATCCTTGCCCCTTTTCTAATGCACCAAAATCTCACCCCCGACGCCGCGTCATCCGTGAGTGCTCCGCGTGTATTCGTATTAAATATATATATAGATATGTATATAATGCTGCTTCTCTCCCACCACATTCCACACATACACAGACACACTGAAACAGACACGAAGAGAGACTGGCGCGCATGTGTATGTGAGATATATAGCAACATGCTGCCGCTGCTCTGCTGGAATATCTAGACGCGCGCAGGCCTCGTGCTCGGGATCAGCTTGCCAGTCGCGCATTGGAATTGGGACTGGAAGCGCGTGCGTGAGCTCGCTCCGACTTGTGTGCCAGTCTTACATATATCGAGAGAACAGAGCCAGAATTTTTTTCGTCCAACTGACTTTTTTTTCGGGGACCGCATTCGAAATAAGACCAGCAGTCTCGCCACAACGACGAGCCCGAGTGTTAGAGACTTGCCAGATAAAATATTTCGGGAGAATAGACGAGAGTGAATGATCGATCCACGCGATCATCATCAGTGCCGCGAGTAGTTTTTTGCTCCGAGTTTGTCTATCGCGTTGGTGTGTCTCTGGCGCGTTCGAGCCCCCTTTTTCGAGCAGATCGATAAAAGTCGCGCGATTTTTTTTTCATCTGCCCGTATTTATTTTTGTACATCAAACTCGTGCCAACGATACGACTCGGTTCATCGCATCCCGTTTCGGATTTCGCACTTGAACTGTGACCCACAACCCCCCCGGACGCCGCGCTGGAGTTGGATTATTTTTCCTTCTTCTGGGTGATTTACAACGGCCTCAAACTGACTCGCCGAAGGATGAGAATGGCTCCGGTCCTTAATCCGGATGATCTCATCAAGCCCGAGGTAAGTCGCTGCTGCAGGCACGCAGATTGCGTGCAACGCACGGATCGCGCGAGTGCGTGCATGCGTGCACGAATATCCGACAAAAATCAAGGGGGGCTCGTTGAAGTTTACTCCTTTACCGATGTAAACGATTCGCGCCCCCGCCAAGTGTTTATACGCACATCCGGAGCTCGTGCAAAAATTATGCATTATTATGCGACAAAGACAATCGTGGGATATCGCGCGAGTACGTACGAGCTCGCGATTGAACGATGAATTTCAAATTTTATTCGACTGCTTCACGGATTGTTGCCCTCTGTTGATTTTTTGACAAAAAAAAAGGAAAGAAAGAAAGAAAGAAAGAAAGAAAGAAAAAATCGACGTAACCCTAATTCTCGTTGACCTCTAGAACGATTCCGCATCGATTATTTTTTATTATTTTTTTGCAAACTATACTCAAAGTACAAAAACGTGTGTTTCATCTCTCTGCGTCGCAAAAATTGTATAATCCATTCACGTAACTGCAGTTCGCGAAGTCAATATTGTATACACACGCGAAAAAAAGGAGCACTCGGCCGATAAAACAGTCCTACTCCTGTCACGCGTTCAATCTTTAATTTTTCGCTTTCCTGATTCAATGACACGAAATTATTTGTGGATCGGCAGGTGCACGGGACTATGTTCTTCCATAACTTATATGGCATAGAGATCCCGTAGGGTAAGGAAAAAAATACGGAACAGCCGAGTGTTTACCTCTGGCGCGTCAATCAATAATATAAGTTCTCGGGCATAAAGCTTCGAAAACGTTATAAAGGCGCCGCGCGATGACCTACAGTGGCGCGCGCGCGGCACATACACACTTGTGCTATCCAGCTGCACCACGTGACCCAGTGCAGAACATACATATATATAGCGCTACACACACACTTACTCAGTTTTTCCTTTCTGTTGCATTATGCATCGTACCCGGAAGTTTTCTTTTCTTTTTTTTTCCTCTCTCTCTCTCTCTCTCTCTCTCTCTCTCTCTCTCTCTCTCTCTCTCTCTATCTTTCTGCCTTCGTAATTCATCGATTAAGGCGCAGGAAAATCGTCTCGAGGGGGTTGAGAACTCGTTGTAAGTAGGGTACAAATTGAAAAAGGTTTCGGTGTAGATAGTGTTACATATAGTATATGTAGTAGCCTGCTGAACTACTTGAAGATTTTCTCTCTCGTTACAAGCCAAGGACTATCGATTTTTCATTCGTCGCGCCGTGTGCGTGTGTATGTATGTGTGTTCTAGTGACTGCGAAGTCCGAGTAAGAGAGAGAGAGAGAGAAAGAACTGTATAGTAAGCATATAGATATATAGGAATAGAGCGCGCGGTACGGTTCGCAGGCGGTGTAATGTTCGAAGCAAAACAGATACAACATTATGTACTTGTGCAAGTGTATATCAGAATTTCAAAGCGAGTGTCACGCGTTCATGACGATGTGACGACTATGACGTGAAAAAAAGAATTATATATATTTCGCGCAAGCTCTAAACGAGCTGTACACACGCGGGCGCGGGTGCGAAGCTCGATCACAACTCGAAATTTACATTCCGCCCGAAATAGAAGTATATAAGCGTTACGGAGAGTTAATTTTGAGTGTCTATAAATCCCCGCGACACAGCGTAATAGTAAGAGTAGGCGTGAGTGTGTATTAAAGATGTGCAGCTGCTCCGCGGGCGCGAGAGGCTCGATCGATGCCGTCGTCGTCGCGTTGCAGATCGTTACATTGTAGTATAGGAGCAGCCGCCGCCGACTGGCGCGACGTCATAGGTACGGACATGTCAGCTCTCTCTCTCTCTCTCTCTCGTGCGCAGGTGTGTATCCATGACGCGATGACGTATCCGCGGCCTGCAGCTACTACTTCTACTACTACTACTATATACTACTCGTACTGATATATACGTGCACACACGGAAGACCTCAACCTTGAAAAGTTGACCCGTTCGATCGCTAAGAGAGAAACTCGCTACAGCGAGCTATACGATGCTTGCATAGACTACTGGTGCACTGCGAGCACATGCATCATGGCAGCAGTCGTGCGCGCGATCGCGAAACTTCATCGCGCGATCAAATAATGGACTGGCAACACGCTCTCTAAAAAGCTCCATTTTCGACCGACAACTCGGTGTACCGAACACGTCGCTATCGAGCAACCGTATATACCGATCGTCGTAATTTCTTTACGATGTAATTTGTTCTTTTTTTATAACTCTTACGAAAAATCCGCCCAGACAACACACGTACACAGCTGTTATCGCACACATATACGTCGAAATCCAAACTACTTTCAAGAGATATAAAATCAAGAGTGCCTCGGCTCGATTCGATAATGAGCCAGGGATGCGTACATGTATATAAAATTTTATCGCTACTACATGCGTTCATATATTTAGAGATGCGACATTGCCAAGGTCATGGAAATCACATTATTCGTCTTTTTTTCTACTTCTTCTTCTTCGTACGTAGCCGCAAGATTCATTTTCTAGTCGGTAAATTGGAAAAAACGTTTTTAAACCTATATAGTATAGCTCTATAAACCTGCGTGCAGTTGTAAACGAGGCAACTCGACCTACGTATATCGCTCTCGCACGATCGCTTCGTCATTTTCTTATAAATATACACGTAGAAGTGGTAATTTATAGTAAATGATAAGAATGCAGTAGGCAAGCTCTTGGAAGGCATTTATATATATGCATAAAGTAGTCATCGTTGAACTATTATAACGCTTCGGGCCATCATGCAAATGAGACACATTTTCAAAATTCTTATCTCCCCCGTATAGAATATTCATTTCTTTTTCTCGATAATGTGTCCGTGTGTTCGGTTTATCGAGAGAGAAAGTAACGGGAATTCCTCCTGGATTATTTTCTTTTGTGTATGGGCAGGCTTTATATTCTTTTGTTATGTGGTTACTAGTAAAAACTGGTTAAAACAAAAAAAATTAGCCTAAGTGAGTACAATAACTCGGAATGTGTATTACATGGCGATTCTTCGCGCTGCGAATTGCGCTGATGAGTCGCGAAGAGGCACGCGAACGCGCACGTGCACACGTCGCGAATCGCTCTCTGCGCTTCTTATTATAACAATATACAAATGCACGTTCTGCAAAATTCGATAAATCTTATATTGTATATGCCTTTTTGAGTAATTGGTTTTTTAAGCGCCTACGTGCGAGTTCGTGTGTACATTCCTAGAAAATTAGATACTTAGCTTAAAAAAACTGACGTCGTCAACGTCGTCGCAATCTCACGTCTTCGATAGGTGTAAACAAAGCGTACGTCGTACAACGCCAAGTGGTTCGGCTTCGAAATGAAATATTTCCAATTTTTCGTATACGTTCGTTTCACTGCGAGCTGTCAACACAATGGTCGTCGCGACCTTTGGTCGAATTTATTGCGCGGTCGCGATTTCGCAGCCTCCTTCTCTTTCCTCTTTTTTTTCTTCTTCCGATGATTCACTACGTATTACACGGGCAAACCCGCAACGCAGACGTCAAATGTGTAATCGTCGTTAAGTACGTAGCAGGAGAATTGCGCATCCGAAACATCAACATCTCGGGTAGATCTCGTCGCGCGAGTTATGCATTGTCTCATCGTTCGCGTGCCTCGTATCCACTCGCGAGTCTGTTGAACTTGCCCCGCGTGTGCTGCAGTTGTGACAATTGATCGTCATTGATGCTCGTGCGACGCGATTGAATTATCTCAGCGACGACGCGTTCCGCGAGATGGAATAGTATTGTATACATAATTACGTTATTCATCGATAAAAAAAGCTTCTATGCAATAAAAAAGCTTATGTGCAAATAAAAAAATCTAAGCACCGTATAATGTATCTCGGTCTCTATACGTATCCGGTCGAACTTTTGAGATAAAAGTTCACGTGTCTATTATTACGTTCCATCTATCGTGATTGTTTCCGAGTGATAGATAAAGATTTCCTATTAATATACATCGTACAAGTCTGCTTTCTCGATCTCCCGCGTCTAGACCACCGCCCGCGACTCGATTGTCTTTAATCCAATTAATATTTACGATCGTATACAGATCTCTCGGCGAGTATGTGATATATAGGCTACCGTATACACACATTACATAACTCGATTATACCCACACACGTATTATATTGTATTACACACACTCTTGCGCATTTTTAAGCTGACCAAATGGTATACGTGTATTTTTAGCTGTCGTTAAAAAATCTTTGTAAAAGGCTCGCGAATTTTTGTCGGCTACGACGACGACGACGACGACGAAAGCTCGACGCGTTGCGTAATCGCATCGACTCTCATTTCGGAATGTCATTCTCGGATTCTGGGTAAATGTATACGTACAGTACGTATACGCGATCGCTCGAGTCGTCGTGTAGGAGGAGAGAAGCCTGGAGATTGGCCAGCTGTGCGCGGGTGTGTCGCGCGCGGTGCGGTGGCGGCTTAACGGTGGCTGCTGCTGCAACAGCAGCATGACGTAGCCAAGCGAGAAAGATAGAGAGAGAGAGAGAGAGACGGGAAAGAGGAGGGCAGTAGCAGCAGCAGTGCAGCCGGCACACGTTTCTCAAATCGATACTCCGCGAGTATGTGCAGTTCCGCCCCGTCTATATAGCGCACATACATAACGAGATACATGTAATGCATAATATACGTGCGCGAAGTGCTTGAGTTGCCGTGCGCGCCGCCGCCAGCTCGACTCCTCCGCGCACAAGCACCAACTCTTTGTTCTATGCTTGCTCTTCTTTTTTTCTTTTCTCGGATTAATGCGCGACATATGGGCACTTGGCGCCATTTGTTCGAGTATACTCGGAACATCTGTTAATGAGGCGCTTAATTGCCGGTCTAAATGAGCAATCCGTCAATTACATAATAATAATGTCACTGTTTCGATCTTTTAATAAGTCGTTGTCATTCACCGTTGTAATCCGTCAATTAGTGCTCCGAAATTTCTCTTTCTTCTTTTCATTCTTATTCTGTCTCGTAATTATAAAACCAGTTCGATAAACCCTACGATACGACCTCGAACATCGTTAGTCTGCCCGCCATCGTCGTCGTCATCTTCGTTAAATCACAGTATCTCAATTCTCGTATTATATATAATATAACGAACGCGAAATCTGAGAAAGTCTAAAAAGCACGTGGTCCCCAGAGCTTACGCCAGCTCCAAAGTAAACATAATACGCGCGTCTTTTTTTAGATCGCACAACACGTGCGCACACGTATGTGTGTCTGTGCGTGATATATACTTGCAAACTTTACCTCGTACATATCGCTGAATGTACACACACTTTATGCTGTATGTGCGCACGAGGGGAATGTGGTCCTTGGCTGGATCGTATATCGTACATTAACACACTGCCATAAAAGGGGGAATGAATTCGTATAGCTTTTGGGGTTTTTCTTATATGGAACGCAATTAGATACAATCCAAGATGGCTCTTGATGAAACGATTCGAATTTAATTGAGCGTACATAACTTTTTCTATAATTACCCGCAAATATTAATATTTATGCGTGATTTAATACATTCGCTTGTTAAACGATAATGATTAACGATCGCGAGTTGAATTATAAGCGAGTCGCAAGTCGACTCTCGTCTTTAGCCTCGGTAATTGATAAGAAAAAAAAAACTTATGGGCGATGCACGCGTGGCAGAAGACGTGTAAGCTGCTATCGAAGTTGTGCAAAGCGCGCGATCAGCTATATAGTCGCTCTTCCGAGCGGGTCAAAGATCAATTGTGACAAAAATTCGTAAAAGCAGATATGTTGCTGTGCCGCGCGCGTATTATGCATACTGTCGCTAAACAGCCGGAGTCGACTGGATACCGCCGGAATCGTAAATATCGAAATAGCGATAAAAAGATGAAATGAAAAACTGATTTTTTTTCTTAATGTGGGACAAATGGCTTGGATCAACGTAATTCTTTCATGGCAATTGGCATATATAATACTTATCTCTTGCCCATTTTTATCGTCCCCTCGCAGTCTGCGTCTGTGTGACATTGGTTATTACGTATATTTTCGGACGTTCGATGTAACGTTACATTCGGATAGGCCTGGTCCGATCGAGGAATTATGTGTACATACATTTCCTTTTTTTTGTGCTTTCGCGTATGAATATGTATATTATTCATTGAAAGATAATGAGTACCGTGCGTACTGTTTATCATTCGCTTGAACTTGAACGAAGTCAATAATCAAATTGTTTTCTTTGTCTGTTAATAGATACGCGATGCATGCGCACCGTTGGTCCTCTCGGACGAGCAGCTCCGGATGGTCATGGAGAGGCTCACGGCCGAGATGATGAAGGGCCTCTGCAAGGAGACTCACGAGGACGCCATCGTCAGATGCTACACCACATACATGCAGGATCTGCCCACTGGAAATGGTTCGTGCCAGTTTTACTTTTATCAACTGACCGTGTGACGCGCGTCTTTAACCGTTCGACGTGCTTTTCTGCTTAGAAACGGGAAATTTCCTGGCATTGGATCTCGGCGGCACGAATTTCCGGGTGCTGCTCATCACCCTCGAGAAGAAGGCCTTCGACATGAAGAGCAAGATCTACGCGATACCACAGAGCCTGATGTTGGGCACCGGCCGCCAGCTGTTCGATCACATAGCCCAGTGCTTGGCGCTCTTCGTCAAGGACCTCAAGCTCGAGAACCAGTGTCTGCCGCTGGGCTTCACCTTCAGCTTTCCGCTCACCCAACAGGGCCTGACCAAGGGCCTCCTGGTCAGGTGGACCAAGGGCTTCAATTGCAGCGGCGTAGTCGGCGAGGACGTCGTCGGCCTGCTCGAGGAAGCCATCGCCAGGAGAAACGTATGTTTCATTTTCATGAAATTTTAATTGCGTACAAGCCAGACCGCGCACGTAACTTTTCTACATCAATACGATTCTCTTCGTTTAAATTTTGCAGGACATAAAAATTGACGTGTGCGCAATATTGAACGACACAACTGGCACGCTCATGTCCTGCGCCTGGAAAAACAAGAATTGCCGCATCGGTCTGATCGTCGGCACCGGCAGCAATGCCTGCTACGTCGAGAAGACGGGCAACGCCGAGTGCGCGCTCGAAGGCCGCTTCCACCCGGAGAAGCCGAGCATGCTGATCAACACAGAGTGGGGCGCGTTCGGCGAGCGCGGCACCCTCGACTTCGTGCGCACCGAGTTCGATCGCGACATCGACGACAACTCCATCAATCCCAACAAGCAGATATTCGAGAAAATGATATCGGGCATGTACATGGGCGAACTTGCCAGGCTGGTACTGGAGAAGCTCACCAATGACGGACACCTCTTCGGTGGCAAACTGCCCGAGGAGCTGAGGAAGCGAGGCAGGTTCTTCACCAAATACGTCTCGGAAATCGAATCGTGAGTACAACTTCCGCTCAGGCACTCGAAAAATATTTTCCTCGAATTATATCTAATGGATTCGTCTAACGTTGCGCAGTGACCTGAAGGGCAAATACGCCAACTGCCGGGAAATCCTGGCCGAGCTGGGCATGATGAACGTCTCGGATCAAGACTGCGAAAACGTCCGATACGTGTGCTCGGTCGTATCGAGGCGTGCGGCCCATCTCGCCTCGGCCGGCATCGCCACGCTGCTCACAAAAATGGCCGAGAACAACACGACGGTCGGCGTCGACGGCTCCGTGTACAGATTCCATCCTCACTTCCACGATCTCATGGTCGAGAAAATCAGCAAACTCCAGCCATACAAGGTGCGTCTCTATTCTCCTATAAAAAAAAAAAAAAAAAAATAGAAACGATATAATCGGCCTGAAAAATATTTTAACAATTCGTGTGTTTTTCTCTTTTGCAGTTCGACCTTATGCTCTCGGAAGACGGCAGTGGACGTGGCGCAGCGCTAGTAGCCGCGGTTGCATCGCAAAAGCGGTGAACATAAGCGGCAGCGCCGCTTGAGTAAATTATTTTACTTAAGTTTAACAGAAAGATTTTAGACTATACGTATAAATTATTATACATAAATTTTAAAGAAAAAATGAAGAAAAATTTATCGATGAATTGAGAACACTTCTGTACATAGAGCACAAAATTGTAAGCAAAACGTAGCCTAGACTTAAATGAAATTCAAGATAAAAAGCTGATTAATAACAACAGCAAAATTATTGATAATATTACTTATATTATTATTATGATTATTATAAAAAATATTATTTAGTCGTTAATACGTTTCACGACGACTAGAGTGTGTGCAATGTCGCTTATCTCTCGCTTTTTTTTTGAGCTGCAACACTGCGATGATCCAAGGTCATCCGGCAATCAATAGAATATAATATGGTCAAGATAAATTTTAATGAGAAATTAATACTTTCGACGCGGAAAACTAGCGTACAGCATCGAGACAAATATCAAATGCAGTGATTCGTTTGAAAAACGACAGGTGTATTTAAACTCTATGTAAACGCTTGCAATCCAATCATCATCTTTCCAAGGTCACCTGGTAAATTATAAATATATACGTATATCGCTTTGTTATATTTATAATTCAGTACACAAAAAAATTGTCTTTGCGACGCGAAAATCGTCGTGTACGAATCATCATTGTTTCTTCGTGTTTGTATTAACAATATAATAAGCTTTATTGACTTCTATGGAGAGACGAAAATTTGTTTAATTTTTGTACAGAGAAAGAGAGCGAGAGAATAAAATGAAATGATATATTTTTGCTTATCTCTATACGTTGTCGAGTTCGAGAGCTATTTTCGAAATTGACTTTTATACATAACATTGAGAAGAAATATATTTTTAAGATACTGATAAAACGGCCAATATTTCAACTAAAAAAAGTGTATTAACGGCCGGATCTGAATAACGATGTATGAAAAAAAAACAAGCGAAAAGATGTCTTTAGAACTACTGTAAATATGTATCTGTAAATGTTAATATATAAAATTACGGAAAATCGTTTGTTAATTTTCAATTGAATTTATCGGTCGAACGAATTGAGACGTATGAAACGTAAAGTATGTAACATAGAAATTTGGTAGTGCGTATATCATTTCAACTGCCACCGTGAGATAATCGAACTTATAGTTTGTTATCAGTAAATGAGGATGAATTGAAAATTACCATTCTGACGATATATGTATGAAAAACTAAAGATTTTATTGTTGTTGGTTACACATACAAGCACGCGAAAAAAATTCTATTACATAACTGTCACGTCGGTTGAGTGAAAATTATTTTTCCTAGCAATGAATTGTGTATGCTCTCATTCGATATAGTTCCCGAAAAATTGTCTGATCAAAATAGCAGATAAATGTTTGAGAAAAAAATTGAATGGTGATTTCGAATCGGACACACTATGTGTGTAGGGGTGCTATGTATAAAAAGATAAATTATATATATAAATTATTGTGCAATCGTGGCAAAACTATGTTTACGAAGCTTTCAAACGATAGTATAAACATCTTACAAATATCCTCCTAGTTTTCAAGAATTGTAACGATATTTAAAAAAAAACTACTTATATTATATATATAAACAAAGTACGAATACGTATGGTCCATCACCATCAATTTTTTTACATTCATGAATAAATGTTGTTGATTATGTACACGTTGAAAATTGCAAAATAAAAAAAAAACAAAACTACCGAACCTCTCTGTCTTGTGTCATTATTATTATTCTTATTACATACATTCGAATTGGAAGCCGTACAAAAACTTGTTATCTGAATTTATGTGCGCAGATAAGAAAAATAGTTAGCACCTGTTCGGAGTTTAAGTAACACCTCTGTGGCACTTTTTCATCTGGCGTTATTAGGTGTGCGGTCGCCACGAAGTCAGCAGCGATGAAAAAAATGTTTCGACGCTTGCACGAAAAACTGCAACCGGTGAGTAAAGTGATAATTTATATAAAACAAAGCAATATTGTAAACGATTGTCCAAGATGTAAGAAAATATTGCTCGAGTCTCGCCCACGCATGTCGTTTCGCGCTGTGACTTGTCGAGTATGCAATGCGCCGTCGCGTGCTGCCACCTGCGGACGTAAACAGCGAAATCCTTGGGCTGCTGCTGCTGCTGCTGCTGCTGTCAGCCGTCTGCTGGCACAATAACACTAGTACATGACGCGAGCTACGGTCGTGCGGGTGCGTTGCACTTTTCCCCATAAACATACACACCTTACAAAACGACGGCGGCGGCAGCGGCGATTTGACAACAAAACGCATCTCCCTACGTCGTATAGATAGTAGTGTAAAGCCATGGAAAAGATGATCGATGGCCTGGCTGTCAAAAGAAGGTAGTCCGCGAGCGCGACCGATCATCGTTCGTGTAAATATAGATGGACGACGCAGCTGGTAGCACACAAACATGATTAGTGGCTTGCAAATCGCGTTGAAGAATGCCATAGACGTGGTGAGTTTGATTTCGTATGCCGTGTTTGTTTGTTTTTCTCGTCCAAGTGAGAGGATTTTTCCTGCGTGCTACATTGCATAAGCCGGATAAGGAGTCGTGCGTGTTTTTTCTTGCGTTACTTGTGTCAGAAATACTTTTTACTGTTTAATCGTGGTGCATACGAGTTATGACATTTATGACTAATTGTTCTTGAATTACAGACTTAACAATGTTGACTGGAATTTTTATCGTCTGATTGTTTGATTTTGTAAACAGGCAATAATTGTGAACATTTTTCCGGTTGTTTTTTCTGTCAAAACTCTAAAATGAAACTTATTTTTATTTTATCTAATCAAGTTGCGCATACTTCAATGCCATTTCTATCAGTTGTCGGAAAGGTTGAAACAATTAAATGTATACAAGTTATTGTATATAATACAATAAAGCATTTATGCTAGAACATTTTTATATTTGTGAAGCCTTACTTCAAGTATGCATTATGAAATCTAATCTTCAAAAATTATATTCTTATAGATTGCTCCTCCCGCAACACCACTACAAAATTTCACATACTATTGGAAACAGCTTATGAACTTCTATGTTAATCATTTGAATGACTCAAGAGTACTGGTCGAATGTACTGGAATTCCAAGACACTTGGATCGTCTTTTAGAGCTTTTACTTGAAGAAGAAAAACATGTGGAAGAACCTGGTCCTTGTCTGGAGTACTTACTCCAACACAGATTATTGGATCTCTTGGCGACTCTGGCCTGTGCCGAAACACCACCCGGGATGAGATTAGTGTGTTTATCTTTTATTAAAAAATTATTGACTAGATCTAAGCATCCACTTTTACATCATGCATCAGTATATGGTCCTGTTCAAAGACTTATAGCTATTTGCAATGGAAATCTTGCCTCACCCATTGAAAATGAGGAGATACATTTTCTAAATAGCATATGTTTTTTAGTTTGTAAGTACCCACATGTAACAAATATAGTCAATGATTCCAGTAATGTTAGGCCAGAAAATAGTTATCAGAAATCTGAAGCAGAAAAGTCTGACGTTGAACAGGTTACTTACATTCCATTTAAGAAGTCAAACACGAATAATCCATTATTCAAGCCTTTAAATACCCAAGTTGTAACTTTAGTCAATCCTGAGTTGTTCAAATCAAGGTAAGAGTTAAATGCATACAGATTGTTTAATCATTACATAAATAATGATTGATTAATATTCCTATAGTAAACCACAATTGAACGACGAAATGAATAAATCAAGTCAGATCTCCGAAGAATCGCAAGAAAACAAGCCGTCCAATCACGTTCTCAATAATTTGACAAGATCGAATTCTTCTTCACAATCCAGTGGATCGTCCAGAGACGTCGCAGCAGTCGACTCCTCCGCTTACGATCCAGTATTGGAAGCACTGAGCGATATGCGAATCGTCGAGGAGTGCATATCGAGCAACGATGATAATAAATCAAGAAGCAGTAAACACGATATCACATTGAGTGATTCGGGAATACCCGAGAATTCAAAGTGTTTGCTCTTGGATGCCCTGAAGAGCTATGTAAATAGTGCTGTAAGTTTATGAATCCTTTTTTCCGTCTAAAAATGTACCTTTCAACCAAACGATTTACATTGGTTTTTGCATCGTTCCCAGGATCATACCGTTCGGATCAGAGCATGCGAAGGCATAATGGTCCTAGCGTCGCTGGACGATCCATTTTTTGCCGATGTAGTGGCCAAAAGTGACTTATCCACTGTCTTAACGCACCGACTGGAAATGTTGTTCAATCAGATACCAGCTCATGTGGAGCCTTTAGAAATCGATGAAATCGAAGTTACTTGGGGCTTGGACTCGCCCCCGTTGATGGACGAGAAAAAATTTCCTGGATGCAGAAAAGTCGCGGCTTTCTTCATGTGGTTAGACTTTTGTGGCCAGCTGTCAAGAGAAGCGCATCCAGACGTAGCCGATGTTTTAGCTCAAACTATACGAATAGATTTTTTAGAAAAAGTACTGACGCCTAAGCTTTCGGCTCATCATGCTATACTGATTACTGCTCTGGTGACGAAATGCTTGAAAGAAGTGCCAACCTCGCCTTTGAGCACTGGTAAAAGCGTGTGAACGATTCAAAATTTCATACCTTTGATTCAAAATAAATCTTAAATTTTTTCTTTTAGAAATGGGCCGTTGGTTGGTAGGTCACCAAAGAGAACCTGACATACCTGAAGTTTGGTGCTCACCGGTCATTCATAAGCTAATTGAAAATTGTCACACGGACAGCGAGGAGTTGACAATCGAAACTCTCAAACTATTCGAGGAGATGATTGAAAAGAAGGACGAGCATATTTTACATTGTCTAGTCTTGACGTACTTAAATAACCGCGGTTATTACGATAACAGCGCGGCTGACAGCGCAATAGTATCGTGGAGCGATGAGGAGGACGAGCGTGAACGTGAAAAGAAAAGCTCCATGGACATGACTCTGGGTACGGGTCACAGTAGGACTCTGGCTCCAAGTAATATTCATAGAATATTAAATTGGTGAGATACGAACTCTAATGGCATCGATTTAATTAAATATTATTGATGACTGAGATCAAATAATCGTTTTACTTTTCCAGCTTTTTGTCCCTCGTTCCAAGACCACTGCAAACTGACTTGGATAGCAATTACAGTCGATACATGGTCGACTGGGAAAAACAGTACTCGATCGTGGTCAAAGACTGTTCCCTCCTTGCTTGGCCTTTGGAGGCGGTATCGATGGATGACTCCGCCAGCGTGAGTTCCAGACATGATACCGCTGACAGCGGTAGTAGTTCTAGCCGATTTTATCCAGGACCTTTTCTGACTATGCTGTTGGACAAAGTGAGCAACATAGTCAAGCAAAAGTACGAGATAAACTTGCAGTTGACGGTATTAGTTTCAAAATTAGCTTTGCTGCCTCATCCGTACCTGCACGAGTTTCTTTTGAATCCACTGATACCATTAGTACCTGGCAAAAAGAGTTTATTTATTTGCTTGCAAAGGGTTGTCAAACAACTGATGAACGAAGTTCCTAAAATACCAAATTTCAAGCAAGCCCTCAAAGAAACTAGATTGAAATTCTTTGAAGAGTGTTGCCCAGCAGCACATTCAAGCAACCACGAGGGATCCGATAGGTAAATAATTTTTTTCTGGGTAAAAAAATATATCATGACTTGGTAAACAACAAATTTTTCCTTTTTAGAAGTAAAGAAGATATTATTTTATTGGAGAGTGTGATAGTTACCGAAGAATTTTGCAAAGAATTGGCGGCCATTGCCTATGTCAAATATCATCATTCCACGTAACGTTAAAATGCGAGTTAATCGTAAAGTTGTTAGTTGTAAATAATTTTTACTTAGATATTTATGAGAAATTATTTAAATTTCATCGACGCTTACTAGTCATTCAATTTATCGAACTTTCAATGAATTCTTCATCAAAGCTCTCGAGAATATTTACAAAATAGAGGATTTAAAAAAGTATAAAAACACTGCGCATAAACACTGTTGTAAATATTTCGATTTTTCAATTCTTCACGGAAAAGAAATTTGTAAAACTTGCAATCATTTTCATGCACAATTAACAAATATTTGTTATAGAAATAAATTTTAAACCAAAAAACACTAAAGTTCTATTTTACTTTGATGTTGTGATTACACCAATTTTCCCGCTCAAATTAAATTTTTACAGTTGGCACTTTTGTGAATACTTTAGCAATCGTACCAACGTCTAAGTAGCAAAAAATTATGTGACATATTATGTTTTCGTAGTTGCTTCTGCTGCGGTAGGACATAATCACGTGTTTAAAATGATTCAAATATTTGATTCTCCAATGTTGAATAGTTATATCTTTTTAAAAGATATAATTCAAGATGTTCTTGATTCGTACAAGAAAATTAAATCCATAGATTTATACTCTATAAGAGTCAACACATTAAATTTAAGTGCAATCTTGTGGAAAAGCAAGGAAACAGTTGTAAACTTGTGCTGCAAAAAACTTCAAGATGAAGTAAGTGCTAATTAAATAGTGCAATATTAGTTTAGTGCTAAGTAAGTAATGTATTTTAATTTTCTCTTTTCTTACAGATAAGAAATCAAATTAAGATAAAGTTTGGCAATGATGTAAATGAACGTTTTAGTATTGTAGTTGTTATCAAAGATTCGAAATTCTATGAATTTTCGTTCTCAAGAGGACCAACGTCTAGTTTAGTTTTAAAGAATGCTCTTGAGCAACCTTTCAAGTTTGGAAAAATGGAGGTTTCAAAATTAAATTTTACAGTAGATCCAGGTTACCCCAATGATTCCGACTTGAACTATTTGAGGCTTCAATGTACTAAGAATATTTGTGAAAACGTAGCTAATGTTTTTGAATATTCATCAACGGCTTCTAACTCAATCCATTGTTATTTATTATGCATGACTAGCAATCCGCAGCTATGTAATAAACCAGGAAAAGTTTGTAAACCTATTTTATGTGCAAGTGTAGTAGATAAAATTACAAAAAAAAAAGTAAAATGTTTGAAGCAAAAAGAATATTTGTCAAGAAAATGTAATAAAATTCATGAGGTATCTAATATAAGATACACATCAACTCAACATAAAGCTTTGACTGAAAAAGATGTTGAAAGAATTGCCTCAGCTTCAACGTCTTATGATCTTACAGCAACTACCCTTAAAAATCCAGTAAAAGTTAACATTGCCTCATCAGAGGATGATAGCTCTATAGATGGTAATGATTTGCAATTATTTATTCATCTAACATTAATTATTATAATTCATAAATATTTTTAATGTTCCAGACATTACAATGATTCTGTATAATTTAGAACGAATGGCAGCTATTTGTATGAAATATCATGAATATCTTAAGGATTCAATTATTCCTGATTTACTTCCATTTGAAAGTATAGATGAAATGGATATATTAGATGATGTAAGTAAAAAATGAGAAAAATTTATAAGTTTAAATGTTCAATTTTAAACTGAAAAACAAAATTGTTTTTAGGAATGGGATCTCATTTGTAATTATATTTGGATGTATCCTTATGTAGTAAGGAGCGTTATTAAGATTGAACCAGAGCCAGATTTTAATATAGCTGTGCTGTGGAGATTTGTGATAAATTTATGTCATAAATTTAGTAAATTTTATAGAAATCATAGAATTCTTATGGTAATATTTGTTGAATTATTATGCTATAAGAAGCACATAGATCTAACTTATAAATAAAATTGAATTTACTTTTTACAGCTGAATACTTCAAATGATCGAGTAACCAAACAAATAACATTAAGGATTTACATATTGAAAGGTTTAGTGAAAGTATTGAAACATGCATTAGACTTGCTGGGAGTTAATGAGACCCAAGTATAGTTCATTAAGACTACATTTTACCAATGTACATAAAATACGTATTAAATGAATGTGATTTGTATATAATATACAGAAGGTTTTCTATAAAATCGAGAAATCTCTATTATAAGGAAGCTCTGTGAATTATTTTGTGATGCAAGTCTTAATGACACTCGATTATATTGTGACAATCATGTTTTTCTTTATTGAAGCAAGCTTGAAAAGTGCTCAGACGCTCATGAGGTACTATTTTCTGGAAGTTTAGGTAATTTTCAGTCATAGTATATAACTTATCTAGGCCGCGAAAAACAGAAAAGGCATGCATAATTAACAGACAAGGCAAAACGGAGGGCAGTAATACATTATTCTAACATATTTTTGCTAAAATCTCTCTAAGCTGAACTTTGGATTTTTTACAATGGTCCTCAAAGTAAAATTTGGAGACATATTAACTTAAAAAACAAGTTTCTCGTGCTAGCAAAATTTTTTTCTAGACCTTTGATTTCATAGAAAATCGTTCATATGTATACATATTAAAAATTATTTTATTTTATACTTTGAAAGAGAAAGCATTAATGTAACATTAATGTTAGAGAAACTGTTGAATTTATATTTGTATTTTAATATTCAAAAGAAGTTTTTTAAATTAACTAAGACTAACAATTTTTCAAGCCAAGGACTGGCAAAAAAAACCAGTCGTCGTAACTACTCTGCTCCACATCTATCTAAATAAAACTTCTCGACTGTTTTTAATTGATGATAGTCAAAATATTTGATATTAAAATTACAACTCATTGAAAGTTAATTATTTTTTTATTTAATTGAAGGAAGTTTATTTATTGACGCCTAAGATAAAAATTAGTTTTTCTTTTAAATTTATTAAAAACTAAGCGGTTTCAAAGAACTATTGAAAATAAGCTACTTCAAATCGCACACGAAAACATTGAACATTAACGTTTTAACACTAACATAATATGAATGTGTCTTTTTATTTGAATTATGCATCAAATAAAATTGAGGATTTTTATAATTGTTCGGCATCATAAGCTGAATGATGGTATTTAATTTTCTTAGTAATTTTTGCGTCAAATATAGCTCATGATTAACTTTACTGTATGCGTCGTTAAATGCATTCGAAGGGATGCACAGCAGGCAGTGAACCCTATGAGAATTGCAGTCGCCGCAGCTCGAATTACGCAGTTAGAAATTCGTCGCCCCAGAACAGAATGCTATGTTGATAAACTCGTAGGCAAAAAGGGTCCAAGTTCCTATTTTATAACATAGGACATAGATACCTTTTTGACTCTGAGCTTAGAGAGATGCCTTTCTGCGCCGGGCGACAAATTCATATAGCGCAGAAGCGCGCGCCGCCTAGCCGAGCGCTCGGCGATTACGGAGCAGTGCAGAGTGCTCAGTGCAGACTGCAGACTGCAAACGATGCGCAACAGCTGCGGCGCGAAAAAACAGCTGACGCAGACACCAATAGCCAGGCAGATCTCAGCTGTTTGTTTTGTTTTCGTGGCGCGCGCAGCATGAAAACTCACGTGACTCTCTTCCATGATGATCGTCGTCGTCGTCGTCGTCGTCGCCGTCGCTGTATACGTATAAGCCGCTCCGGCGCATGGGCTGTGTGCGTGTAGGACATTTTTGTCTATGTATGCACAACAACACCATGCGGCGGCGGTGGTGGCGGCGGCCATGCGCTCGTCTCTGCGCGGCTTGGATAAAACGATCCTTGCCATTGGTCAAGCCGATGCACTCGTCGTCTAGCCCGGCCAATCCTTCGGCCGTTCTCATGACGAAGCGCTGCACTTCGTGGGACGTGCCGCGTTCGATATATATAGGACGCCATGTGCAGGACTTTCTGTTTGTTTGTTTTTTTTCGGTTAGAATTTGAGTGCGAAATATCGTTATTTTTATTGTTGTCACATCAACCGATTGTTTTTCTTCAATTTGAAGGAAAAACTTTTTTAAATAATTCAAAAATTGTTCAGGCTGGAAAATTGTTGGAGGATTCATTTGGATGCGTATTCCATTGTCTGACAACTGGTCTATTTCGGTAATTTAAAATAATCAATAAAGTAATGATTGAACTCCAATTTTTCTCAGATTAATCCAGATCCAATGAAGAACTATATAGAACCCGCAGATTTATTAACTCGATATCCGTGTAGAATAATCGGATGAAAGCTTGCCGAACAAAGAAAGGAGCCTCCGGAATAGGAGCGAGCGCGTGCCAGACAACGAGCAGAGCGCACAGGGGGCGCTCAACGCAGTTGTTGTTGACTTTAATGAAGTGCAGCAGCGCAGTGGTGGGGCATGGGGCAGCAGCGCAGCAGAAGAAGCCGCGTGTGCAGATGGGTGTTCCGCCGAACTCCTTGATAATATACTTATATACATACACAGGTATATATGCACACGAGGATGTAGCCCTCGACGCTGGCGGCTGCATCATTAGCATTATGCGCGCGCAAACTCGTCGTCCTCGTCGTCGTCTACGTCGTCGTACAGATAATAAGGGCCTGAGCATCAGCGCAGCCACATACGACGAGGAAATAAGCGCGCGCAAAAAGAAAGCAAGAAGCCTGGCGCATTGCATTTAATAACGACAATAACAATGATAAACGTCGAGCCCGCGAGGGAAACTCGAGACGTCGCGGCGTATGTAGTTCGGACGCGCTAGCGCGCACATACGTATAATATACGCATGTCACTCGTACGCGAATACGTACGTAGATATAGCACAGAGATGTGGAAAAGCTCGTGCGCGCGTATATACGATGGCTGGCCGAGCTCATCGCGCATAGAGATCTGCAGCGCGTGATTTATAGAGTGTGAACGAGTGAAAGGCGAAAAAAAAGGTGCGAGAGATGAAAAAAAAAGACAACGACGAGGATCGAATCGCACTTTCTCTCTAAGCAATGGGCGTGCGTATACACACCATGTATATGTGTGTCGAAGCTACGTGTATAACGAGGTGCGCGCATGCACGCACATCGACACAGCGAACTGTTAACAAATGAGCTTGTGCGTGCACCGCACCGCAGCACGAGGCGCGATCTGCAAAGTACACATACAGCAGAAAACTGCCCTGCGCGCCGAGTTCGCATGTGGCACGCAAGCTTTATAATCGCGTAGCTCGCTCGAGTCTCGCGTCTCGCTCTCAGCAGTGAGTGTAGCTCGATGTAGGCAGGTACGTGTGTGTGCATTGTGCTACGCGCGTACACAGCCATTAAGTAGTTAAAAAACAACACGAGTAGATATAAAGGGACACGCCGAGTGAGCTACGCCGGGCAAAAACTGCCTTATACAGCTATATAATCGTGTCTCTCTCGGGCGTCGGCGGTGGCCAATTTCCTCGCGCGCTCGTCTACTTATATGTACACATTTGTATGTGTGTAGTTGCGCTCCGATATTGCGCGTTATATCTATATAGCGAGTCGTGTATACGTATATGGATAAGTAGCGTAGCTCTGTGTATATTAGCTCGCACGCCGGGCCTTTTTTTCTTCTTCTTCTACTTTTTGTTCTCATCGCATCGAGCTTCATAATCGTCGGCCTACGCTTCGACAAATTGCGCGCTATATAATGGTACTCCGCGTGTAGTTCCGCGTCGGTGTACTTACACAAGCTCCCATAGTCTCTGTGCCTCGTGGATACCCATACCTAGCTATATGATGTATATAAGAGTCTAGGCTGGCTATATATGCATGCAGGTATCGGCGTAGCGATGCAGGCGACCCAACGCAACGACTACAAACTACAACTACTGCTGCTGCTGCTACTGCTGCTGCAATCGTCGGTGCAACGTAGCTCGAGCGCAGCTCTCGTGCGGTCGTTGTTCATGCCCGTTGTTTTCTTCGTTGCAGCCGTTATATACCTATACTATATTGTATGGTGTACCTAGAGCTCTTGGACGAGCCAAATTTATGTGTGTGTGTGTGTGTGTGCGTGTGTATTATATAGCTACGTGGTAAGGTAAGGCGTGCAGGAAGCCAAGTGAAAGGGAGAGAAGGGACGATCGAGAGAAGACAAGCAACGTACACTACTTATGTATACCTGCATACACATACACATACACACACACACGACTATGCATCGAAGCTACACGACTTTCGTTGCGCTTCTCTCTTTGTGGCTTTGCCACTTCTTCACAATGTCTACATACGTGTGAGGCTCCTATATACGCACTTGTACACGCGTACTCGCGAGAGAGGATAAAGAATGATTCTCGTGCGAACTTGTCTCTCTCTTTCTCTCTCGGTGCGTCTATCCTTTTGCGCGTGGGCCTTTTTTCCTTCTTTCCTTGGCTTTTTATATCCGCCCTTCGTCTGAGCTACACGCTCATGTATAAGTATAATACTTCAAGATATCGTGTGGCGAGATCATCGGGCGCGCAAAAACTTGGCGCGCTCGTTCGCGATGTGCTGCTTCGAGCAGCGCAGAGCTCTCGTTCGACACTATGTGTATATATATATATATATATATATATAAGCGCGCAATTGCACGCCACACTCGCTGCTGCCGCTGCTCAGGGCTGTTGGTTGTCGTCGATTTCTTCCTTTTTTTTTCTTCGGTTCGCTCCGATATATATCACGCGCCGAGGCGAATTGTGCGAGCAGCCGAGAAGTTTGACGTCTCATCGCGCGCGAATTATCGGTAGTTCTCTACTTCGAGTTTTCTTCGATGGAAAAAAGAAGAAGAAGAAGAAAATAAAATAAAATAATCGATAGCATCGCGCGCGCTCGTGTTCGTTGGCTCGTTCGCTCGCTAGCTTCGCTTCTCTTTCGCCTGCAGTGTAGTTTTGCTCGCAAACTACACAACGACATGGCGAGTACGACGTACTGCAGGGTGTGTTTTATTCGTGCAGCCGTCACACGCGCTGCTGCAGCACATATGGGGTGGTAGTTGTACTATGCTACATTGTACTTGCGCGACGTTCGGCCCTTTCGACCCTGCATTCACGCGATGGGATGATAATAGACAAGCTCGCATTAAATATGAAGGATGCAAAAAAGTACGTGTGTGTGTGTGTGTTTCGTTTGCGCGCAAAAATCGTCATTAATCAGCAAGAGCGCAGTACCACTGGTGTATATACGTGCGTGCGTACTTGGTCGTATGTGCTGTTAGCTCGAGTCATGCACCGCACTCACAACGAGATCGAGCGGCTAGAGAGTTCTATTGTCAAGGTAGAGCGAGCAGTAGCTGCAAGAGGGCATGCAGTTGTATGCACATGCACTTATACTTCTCTCGCGTACACAAGCCTGTGTTCGTGCGCGTAAGTGTGCATGTATATGTGTTGGCGAGGCCATCAGGCGTACAGTATATAACATATAGTCCGGCAAGCGGAGCAGCAGCGCTACAGCTCGGGGTTACTGACCCACTTACCTTATGCGTGCACACTTTGCTCTGTCTCTCTCTCTCTCTCTCTTTCTCTCTTTCTCTTGGCTCTCGGTTCTCGTTCGCTCGCTCGTATTACGATTAGTGCATCTGTGGCTGCACACACATACACATACGAATATATGTACATGTGTACGATGTACGCATCGACTCGGTACATTGCACGTTTATATTATAGGCAGCTGAGCTTTGTTTACCGTTTGCACGCGTGAGAGATGCAATTGTTTCCGCCATATTACCGAGTCAATGTTACTCGTTGACAAAACTTTCCAGATTTCTTGAAGTGAAACTTCTTTGGAAGCATTATGAAGTATGTCAGTCACACCATGGCGTGAAGGTAACGAATAAAGGTGGCCATTATTGGAATGAATATTACATTTTTTTATGATCACTTCATTATATCATTATTGAGAATCAAAAATATTAAACGTGGTTAGTCGGTTTGGAACGTTTTTTATGACTGCATATTGATATTGACATATAATATTAAAAAAACAATATTACGAGTTGGGACGATTTAGTTATTAAGAATTGGATTCTCAAAGATCCAAAAAATAGTATTTTAATTCATCACTTGTCTGGTTGTTTTGATCGAAATCAAGATTCAATTCATGTAAAAAATATATTCTTGAACATTGTTTTGTTGCAAATAGTTACACTTTTACATTTGAAATTAATTTCCTAATCAAACTTACTTTAAAATAAACAAGAAGTGAATTTATTTATAGTCTGTCATATTTTATAACTTATTTTGAAGAAAAAAATTACTTATTTATTATAAAGATGAGGATTTATGAATTCGATACTATAACGAGTTTTTTTGAAGTACTTTGTGTTGGCGAAAAATATCCTCACAGAAATTGTCCCAATTTAGAGTTATAAACTGGTTCAAATATTGTATAAGGACAATGTATAAAGAGATAAATAAATACCTTAATTGTAAACAATATGATCCTAAACGATTTTGACATATTCCCTCGACATTCTGATCATGTGAATAGTAAAAACAAATTAGTTTGAATATTGACTTTCCCGATAAAACAAGCCATAATACCAAAAGATAAACTTTATTCATTCAATTTCCGTGACACTAAATATAATAAACGACGTTTAATTTAGGCATTGAAATGGATAAAAATGAGAAGAACTTCGAGGAAATTGTCTCAAAAGATAACGACGTTGTTGCTTCAGACAACCAAAAACAAGTATGTGATATTTGTGAGGAGACATTCCCACTAGAATCATGCATGATAATGCACCGAGACACGATTCACAATGATCAGAAAGATTTTGCTTGTGACAGATGCAAGAAAAAATTTGTGAAAAAATCAAGTTTATTTACTCACCAGAAATTAGTACACAAAGATCGCAAAGATTTCAAGTGCTATAAATGCGAGAGAAAATTTGAAAATAAATTAGCTTTACTTAAGCACAAAAAAATATTCCACGACGTTTTCAAAGATTACTTATGCGAAAAATGCGCAAAAAGATTTGGAAATAAACAGAGTTTTCTGTTGCACATAAAAACGATTCACGAAGGCTGGAAAAATTTTGCATGTGACAAGTGCGAGACAGTATTTGAACAAAAAGCACATTTGCAAAAACATTTGCATCAAAGGGCAGTTCACGAATTTGGAAAAAAGTCGAATTTGACTAAACACCAAAGTACAGTTCACGAAGGCCACAAAGATTATGCATGCGATAAGTGCATAAAAAAATTTGGAAAAAAATCAAACTTGTTCAGACACCAACATACAATTCACAATGGTCGGAAAGATTTTGAATGCAACGGGTGCGAAAAGAAATTTGGACAACGGTTCAATTTGATTTCGCACAAAAAGACAGCCCACCAAAGTCACAAAGACTATGTTTGCGACAAATGTGAGAACACATTTGGATTAAAATCGAATTTGCTCTCGCACATAAAAACAGTTCATGAGGGTCGGAGAGATTACACATGCATCAAATGTGAGAAGAAATTTGGAAAAAAGTCAGATTTGATCCGGCACCAAAGTACCGTTCACGATGGTCGAAGAGATTTTGCATGCGACAAGTGCGAGAAAAAATTTGCTCATAAACAACATTTGCTATTACACCAAAAGACAGTTCACGAAGGTCGTAAAGATTACGCATGCGACAAGTGCGAAAAGAAATTTGGAAAGCGGTCGCATTTGTTCGAGCACCAAAGGGTAATACACGAAAATTGCAAAGATTATTCCTGTGACAAGTGCGGAAAAAAATTCGGACTTAAACGTAATTTACACACCCACCAAAAGACGATCCATGAAGGTCGGAAAGATTTTGCATGCGACAAATGCGAGAAGAAATTTGGTACAAAATCGAATTTAATTCAGCATAAGAAAATAGTCCATGAAGGTCGGAAGGATTACACATGCGACAAGTGCGAGAATAAATTTGGATATAAATCTCATTTACGTTCCCATCAAAAGATAGTACACAAAAGTCCCAAAAATTACTAGATTGACAAGTGCTCTAAGTCGTAAATGCATCGTTCAAACCATTTTGCAAGAACAATTTTACTTACAAACGCCATGTGGTTCTACACCATAGTTTTACTCACGGAGGCAAATTTTTTGCATATGGGATTTTCAAGAAGTCATAAAAAAAAAGAAGAATCGATTTGACCGATCATAAACGATTTGTTTATAGAAAATGCGAAGAATTCGGATCTCAATACTTTACAACACTTTACCAAGTCTTAAACTTACAGAAAAATGTGAATTTTTTCTATCGTTCACAAACAAAGCTTTAATACAATATTTGATTGGTGGCTGCCGACTAAAGTTCATGATGGTCAAGATCATAATTAAAGTACTTTTTTATGTCTGGTGTAATTAAATTTTTTGTAGTTTTTATAAAATACAGGTAAATGAATTGTGAAGAAGCAAATTAAATTCATTTATTGACATCGATTAATTTTTTTTCATTTTCATTTTATTTAAAAAAATTATTATTAAGTTTGGCATCTCTCAGCTTGTGCGATAGATTATTGATTTTTTTGATTTTTGTAAAAATTTACATGAAAAATTCCGAATCCTACTCAGCCAATCTCAGCAACGACGACAATCGTTCAAGTCACATCATTGAATGCAACGATGAACAAGACGAACTTATATAAATATCACGTGACGCTCGTGAAATTGTCAATACGTATGAGCCCGGCAGGCTGATTCTTTCCGAACGACGACGATCGAATTTTGGGACGGGCACAAAGAGTCGAGACGTCGAGCGGCGGTGGCGACTCGATCAAAACCAAACGTGTTTACTATGGCGATAGGTAATGTAATTTACCCTCGCTTCCTTCTAAAATCAAGCCCCACAATTGCCGTACTCATAACGTACGAAAGAACGTTATATATATAATGCGTAGCGCATCGTGCCGCGCGCGCGCCCATAAAGCCATCAAAAATACGATAACCGACGTCGCCGCTGCTGACAGAAAGAAGTGCACACCCAATGTTTGTGTACATGCTCTGTACAGACTGTGTTGTCATTATACACATATGAGCAATTCTATGAAAAATCGTTACAATGCGACCAAAGTAGCGGGTGCCATTTTTGTTACAAAATGTCCAGTTCCCGCATTTTCCCATACCTTTAACGGCAAAGATTCCAATCGAAATTTTAGGCTCGAATTATTAGCCTCTCATGTTTACTCGAATCAAGGCATAAAGCGAACATTTCTTTGAGAATTTTTCGCGAAATCTGCTGACGGAATGGTCAGAATTACATACCAAGAACGAAGCGACGCACACATACCACAATAACAATGCGTATAGACGCGGTCAGTTTTGGAACTATCACAGTCGTGGAAATCATCTCGCTAGTAAACAAGACTGATTCGTTCACTCACTAGTGTCAAGCTGAGTGACTACGACTAGCAACTGCTTATAAATTATTATCGTAAAAGAGTTAAGTTCTACATTATTTTTTGTTTTTTGATTGTTATCTTAAACCCAGGTACGGTGCTAGCTACGTAACCTCAAATATTTCTTCAGTGTACATCGTGAACATTTACAGTGAATAATCGAGAAAGTGATGGATAGTGACGTAGTTAGGTAAATCTATTTTTGTGTTTAAAATTATTTTTTTATCAAGGGATCGACCGATCAAACTTGGTTTTACTTTAGGGTGAAGGAGGAGCCAAACGAAAATCTGACGATCACAGATGATGATTATGTTTTCGATTCAGTGCAGGACTATATCAAAGCCGAAAACTATGAAACGTTGCAATTTCATGACTTACCGGTGAGTTCAGAGATATGAATTATGTTCTCTTTGTCGACAATTAAAAATTAGTCTACAATTTACATTTTAGGCAAAACACGCGAACGAGGATGTGACTTTACAGGAGAAGTTAGGTGAAAAAATATTCATAGGTTTTGAGTGCAAAAATGTCAAACCTGAACTGCCGTGTCTATCGGAAACTATCTGCAAATCTGAGTTTCAAAATGATCAATCTGATGTGAAAAAAGAAAACGAAAATACGACCAATAACATGAATGAAAAAACTCTAATAATTTTAATAAAAAAAGGATATAATTATGATAATAATTGTCAATTGAATGTGAAATCCCGTTTAAAATTGATCGAACATGAGAAGCTCAAAAGTGTTGAAAAAAGTGTTGAAAAAAAATCATTGCACGAGTCAAAAATATGTCGAGAATCTTATAAAATTCATTTCAAAGCCAATCACAATAACAGCAAAACTTTTGTATGTGAAATTTGTCACAAATCGTTTTCATCCAAGAATAATCTCAAAATCCACATAAATACAGTACATTATCGGAGCAAACGCTTTGAGTGTGAGATTTGTCATAAATCATTTGGACAAAAAAGTAACCTTGAAAGCCACGTAAATACAGTACATAATCGGAACAAACCCTTTGAATGTGACATTTGCCCCAAGTCATTTGGACGAAAAGGTTACCTGAATAGACACATAAATGAAGTACATGATCGGAGCAGACCATTCAAGTGTAATATTTGTCAAAAATCATTTGCAGATAATCATTACCTCAAACGTCACACGATTGCAGTACATGATGAGAGCAAACCGTTTGAATGTGACATTTGCCACAAATCATTTGGATACAAACATGTAATCATACTTCACATTTATGCAGTACATAATAATCATAGCAAACTGCTTCAAAGTGAAACTTGTCAAAAGTAATTTTTATTGCAAAGTTACCTCAAAAGACATATTAAATCAGTTCATTTTCGTATCAAATGATTCAAATGTGATGTTTGTTTCAAGTTATATTAAACGTAAATGTAATCTAAAAGCTCACATAAATTCAATACATGATTGTGAAGAATATTGAAAAAAATGAGATCATTTTAGAGATTCGATTGACGTAATGTTAACTTTTGACTTCCTTTGTGAAAAACCTCAAGGATATTTTCAACTGTTGTAATGGTTGTGTTATGACAAAAAAGTTCTATTTTTTTATCAATTAACTTACATATGAAAAGCTAACAAGTCTCGAATGTAATTTTTTTAAAACTTTTTTGACGTTACAAAATCTTGTCTAGTTCCAAAATTTTTCTGAAAATTCCTTTAAAATCTCCTAAAAAACGCACATGCATGAATAAGATTTTATTGTCAAACAATACTTCCGTATTGTTTAAAAGCCGACACCAAACTAAACTTCTGCACTCATTTTCTTATATTTCGGGGACTACAAGGAACTATTATCAACGGCAAGTACATGCGTCAAGTATCCCAAAATTCAATCACGAATTCAGTCTTAAATTTTGAGAAATTTTCACTGTGTTGAACTAACGACTGTCTTAGTTTTGGTTTATTTGCGCTAGTTCAAGAAAGCGGCATGTTGACATGTAAAAAGCAGATTTGCGAAGAATGAAGCATATACGCATTATAGATCTTGCGCGCAGATGACGGCTTGGGCGTTCAACGGTTTTCCTCATAAATTGTCGAGTCGAGCTCGAGAGCTCGGTGCATGGCAATAAAAACAAGGAGACGAAAAAGAAGAAGGAAAAAAGGAGAGAAAAGAGCAGAGCAACGACACCAAGGCCGAACTTCACCTGGTGATCCTTACATTATTACGTATATAGGTACCTTATATATACCTTTTCCGCAGCAGCAGCAGTTTACGGACACATGAAGTTACGTTCCTCCGTGTGTACGAGTAATATAAAAGTCAAAGCAACCGAGGGGGGAAGGGGGGGGGGGAGAGCAAATTTATATATGTGTGCCTGTATGCACGTTTCGGAATGCCAATGCCGACTCATAACTGGCAGAGCAACACACGGCACATTACGTACACACATACATAAGTACACACAAACGAACAGACGCATGAGGCAGACAGACAGACGAGAGCTCAGGTAAATATAGGTAAATAGTTCTCACGGCGGCAGGCGGCCAATTGCACATTTGCGCGCGCTTGTGTGTGCGTGCATGTGCATGTGCAGATGTATACACGCACACACACACACACGCACACACACACATACACAATGTACGTATATATGTATGCACACTGCGAATATCGTATGCGCGATGCGTTGCTGCGCTAATTTTTCACTCACGCGCGCTGCAAGACAGAGAAAGAGAGATCGCTATCTATCCGCAGTACCTTCCATCATCGCAGCGCGTAACGTATTATAAACCCGCGCGCGCGAGCCAACATGTGCGCGCGGAGAGCTCGACTTTAATTGAGATGGCTTTTCGCAAAAGGCCGCGTTCGCTCGCTCACTTGTTGTTGTTGCTGTTGTGTACGTGCGATCTTGAGAACGAGCTACCTTATGGCTTTTTAATTGTTTATTATTTTTTTTTTCGTGCTTCCCTCGCTTGCATTTTACCGCGCGGATATCTCATTGAGCGAATTATACAGTCAAAGGCTGCAGAAACTACACGAGCGAGAGAGCGAGAGCCCAAGGTCGTATACGCGTCGCATTTATCGAACCGACTCGCGAGCTTATAGGCGTAGGTCGAACGCGATAGTTGATAAGACCGAATTACCCGCGTTTTTGCAATTGTGCCGTTGCATACGTATACATACACACACGCATACACCGTCTATATGCACATGCACACAGAGAGCAGAGTGAAAAAGGGGCGCTTGCGCCGTATAGCGTAGTGCAGTGCTGAGGTAATATATACATATAGCGCGAACTCGGAGAGTCGTCCACCCCGCTATAGCCCCGGTACAGAGGAAGGCAGGCGCGCGCGCACACGAATGCAACACCGCCGCCAACGCACATATAGATTTGCGCGCCGCATATACACACGTGTGCACACACACACACATTCGGAGCGAGGCGAGCGAGAATCGCCGGCAAAAGCCAGGCGCATGAATTCGCCGCGCGCATACACAAACGATAGAGCGAGCGAGAGAGAGAGAGAGAGAGAGAGAGATACCGAACCTCCCCACTCTAGCCGTCTCTGTTTCGCACACACAGACACGCGCATGTACATGGAGCGATGCATGCATACAACGTCGAGCGTCGAGTGGCTGCACACGCGCTGCCGCTGCGAAAATCGCTTACATTATATACCTATATCTATGCTTCTCAATAGCTATATAGGTATATATAGGAGCACGTTATGTATATATGCTTGCGCGAGAAGAGCGAAGCTACCCACTATGCGCGCGTTTCTGCACAACGAGGCTCGAACTTGGCGGCGGCGGCCGCTCTCCATGCCGCCGACGCCGCCGCAGCAGCAGCAGCAGCAGAGCCGCTCACGAGTACGACGACGCAGCGCATGCGAGAGCCGCTCCTCTCTGTCTCTCTCTCTCTTTTGCTCGCTCGCTCGCTCTTTTTCGCCGTGGTGCATGCTGCCGCTCTGCTCTTCGTCGGCGGGCCGTGCAGTCAGTCAGTCAGTCGCTCCTCGTCCACCGTAGCGCGCTCTCGAGCTACTGTACTCTCTTATATATACCTCTCCGTGAACGCGGGCTTTTATTCACGCCAATTCTTATATATACAATAATACGTGCACTCGTGTATGTATACCTCGTGTGTGCGCAAATAGCAGCAGATCTCTCGACTTTTCTCTTTGTATACATAAACATAAACGCAACGGTGTGTAGCTCATATACCCTCTTGTACCCCTCTCTAACCCCCCAATACAAACTACCCACCTATATAACCCTTTTTTTGCTATTTAACTGCGCTGCTCTCCTCGGCGCTTTACGATAGCGAAAAATCCCTATACCTACACACGCAGGCAAGAACGCGCTAAAAAGCACACGCGTGTTCTAGACTGATTATTTATAAACCGCTATTTATGAATAATTCCTTCTGTACGATCGGTCGTGTGGTGTAAAACGACGAGAAAGATACGAGAGACAAGAAACAAACATAATATAGAAAACGAGTGCAGCCGACATCACGAGTCTTGTAATCGTCAACGTGCAACAACCACCACAACAACAACACAGATAAACGAACGAGCACACGCATCTCTATATCTTCGTTATACAGCAGGCAATATATACAATATACCTACATATATATATCGCTGTTATTGCTACTGCACTCAATCGACGACGATATATCATCATCATCATCATCATCATCATCACGCAATCTCTTCTCTGTCTGCATATAGAGATATATATACACAACTTGGCAAGTGTGCAAAGCTTCTAAGTGTGTGCGTGCATGTGTGTGCGAGAGAGTGAGTGCGAGAGGTGCATACGGCAGTTTGTGCGTCTGAGTTGTGAGTGAGTTTACGTGCACATATAAAAGGTGTGCATCTGTGTTGTCTATATAACTCTCTCTCTCTTACTCGCTCTGCTCTTCATCACGCCGTCGTTCCCGCTGCTGCAGCCATCAACGTCATATAGATAGATATATTACAAAAAGAAAAAAAGCTCGTGTGTGTTTTTCTCTACGCGCGCATCTGTGTGAGTGATATATGTATAATAAATAAATTATTGTGTATCCTTGTCGGTCATTCCCGTTTCTCTCATTGCGACTGCAGTGACGGAAAAAACGTCGGGACTCGCGAGTTCTGTGCATCGTTTTTTATCATATATGCATACTGCTATTTCAAATAAAGCATAGTAATAATCGTCGAAAGAGAAAAAAAAAATTAATCCCACGAGGCCAAAACGTAACGTCGTTCAGCATCTTCCTCGTCGTTCGTATATCTATAAACTACGCACAGTGCGGATGTGAACGAATAGATCCTTCCAAGCAACAACAACACACGTACCTTCACATCCAAGGCAGCAGCGTTGCAGCAGTTGAGCTTTTGACATATTTGCCAAACTTTGCGTGCGTTTGTTTGTGTACGATATACAGTTATACACAAACGAGCAGAAAAAGTGAGTGCGAGAGAGAGAAACAGCTGCGTGTGTGTTATATATACCGTGTGTGCGTACACGAGAGTGCGAAAATCACGCATTCGAGTCGATTCGTTTTTTTATCGCTGCAATAATACCCAAAAAAAAACAACGCCCGAATACTCCAAACGACTCTCCTCTCACGTACGCGTTGTTGTTTCGACTGTAGCTCTTTTGCTGAGCTGATGATAACATATAAATAATAAACATAATCGTCGCGTATTCAAAGTGTGCTACGCAAACGTTTTGTTTCGCGAATAAAATCCGGCTGCCTCGTCGATTTGCTCCTTTACTCCGAGAGCCACCGCCGGCGCGCACGTGTGCGTGTTGTGTTGCCGAGAACGAGAGCCTGTGTGCGTCTGCATAAGCGGGTGCCTTTCTGTGTATATGCGCACACAAGTACAGCAGCTAAATTAAAATAAAGAAGGGCTTTGCCATCCATTCCGCATCCTCTTTCTTACATAAACGACGCCTGATTTATTTACACGCATTCGTGTGCTCGCAGGGATTGGATTCTACGGACGCAAAAATTTCATCATTCTAACCCTCGTCGACCCCGTTGTGAGTATATTGTGCATCGCACCAGCAGCGCCAGCCGAAATAGAACAACAACAGAAATTCACATACATCCGAGTGTGTGCGAGCAAAGATACGAGCCACGTGAGACGCACGTTGCAATAGGATCAGTGATATAGAAGCAGCAAACCAAGAGACGGCGGCACGCAAAAGCCAAGACATACAGTGATCCATCGTCGGCATCGACATTGGTGTTTTTATTCAAAACTAGTGTTTTATAACCGAGTGTTGTTGACGTTTTTACACGTCGTTGAATAAAAAAAAATATTATAATAAGGCCCCATCAGTGCAAAAAAGTGCAAAGTTTCGTTTCGTTGGTTTTGAAGAGAAGTAGGAGGAAGGTATCTTCGATTTTCGAGTGTTAATAAGACGCAATCGAGAAACGATCTCGATCTCGCCTGTCTCTTGGCGTCGACGATTGACGTTTGAAGAGAAGAAAGAAGAAGAGGACAAGTGTTACAGTGCTGACAGGGGGTAAAGGCCAAACTGGGGAAATATGAGCATTGCTGCCCTCCTGCAGGCTGCTGAGTATATCGAACGAAGGGACAGAGGTGAGTAATTATATTTTAAAAAAATAATAATTTTTTTCAACTCTTATCTTTAACTGCAATTCATTTACTCGATTTATTTACTCGACCATCGGCTCATCCGAGCTGCTGCTGCTGTTTCTTCTCAACGAGAGCAGGCAACTTCGCGCTCGTGCTTTATAATGCGAGTGCGAATCGACATGTCTCTCTTCGCTATACGTGCTGCATATTATAGAAAGAACTGGATTGACGTCTCTCGTCACATGTTGCGTACGCGTGTCAAAAAAAGCGAGAAAGAGTGAGCACAAATAAGAGAGAGGGACGAAGAGAGGCTGCACTTGCGCGCGCCCACTGTTTTTGCCCGCGATCGATGCCTCCGATAAAATTACTCCTTTTCTTTCCTCCTCTTCTTTATGTGCCACGGCGATCTATTATTTCGGGCAAGTTCGTTAACCTTCGACTGAAGCACACACACACACAACTTACTGGCAGAGTGTATAATATAAAGAGAGAGGAGAGGGACGCAGCGAGGAAGAAGAAGCGGCATACAGCAGCGGCGACTCGTGCGCACGGCTCGAAAATTTAAAAATATTGCGCAAGCGAACTTTCGCTGAAAAATCAACCATCCAGCACCACCCACGCTTGCTTTTCATTACACGCACACATACGTAGATATTCGCTCACACACACGTATGCAACACACGACGGTGTATACGCGCTGTACTCGGGATATAAGAAAAAAAATTACGAGAAACAAAAAAGTTTAAAAAAAAATACAGACATACACGCTCGCGAGCGCAAAAAGTGCAGATACAAACACAGCGCAGAGAGCACAGAAAAGAGAGAAAGTTTCGTCGTCGTTTATACTTACATCGCGCGCGCAGGCGGCGAAAAAGAATGTGGCTTCGGTGCATAAACACAAACCGCGCCGCCCGCGGCTACAACACACACATACACTCGCACACACATACATATTCACTGCAACAGAGAGGCAAGGATGAGAGAGACTCGCGATTTATTACCCGACAGGATTTTTTTCCCTGCGTTTCGTGTGCGTGCGCTCGTATACTGCGCTATATACACACAATGTGCCAGTTCTGTGCGTACGTGTGTGTGAGTATGTATGTGTATCTGCCATCGCAAGCCGGTCAAACGCGTATTTGTGCAAGTCGTAGATTCATATTTTCGGCGGATCACGAGTGATTTTTTGTCTACAAGCGCAGACCCAAATAGCCAATTGTAATTACGACTCGGCTTTGACTGAATTTTACAGCAGCAGCGCCGAGCTCGTGCCGCCTCTACTGTACGTATATCTATGTGCAAGTTATAAATGACGGGGTAAATGTGCTGTAAACACGACACGTGTTGATGAAGCCTTACAAACAGACACCGAACGAAGCGCCCCTATATACACACTGCGCACATGTACACTCGTCCATCGCGAAGATTTTGGTATCGCACTTATACAAGATATTTCGACGATTGCTGAATCCCAAAATCATCGTCGAAAAATGACGCGCCTCCAAGTTTTAGAACGCGGCTCACTTTATGCAGGCCTCCTTTTCTTCTTCTCTTCTCTCGTTCTTTCTTTCGTCGCGCATCGATAAACGTTGTTTGTTGCTTAAAGGCCGTGTCAGTGGCGGCTGCGGCGGTTATTTTTACGCTTATTTTTCATCGACTCTGTTATACACTATAAAAAAATAAAAATAAATAAATAAATAAATTTAGAAGAAAAAAAAGCATCTCTGCGTATACCGATCGTTGGAAAATGTATAGCATAAATAATTCATCGCTCGTATAGTCACTTGCATAAACATCGTGCAGTTTTTAGTGTATATAGAAAAACAAATCGGCTTTCCTCCATCCGAGCATTACAAAATATCTCTCGGCGTGCACACGAGAGTGTGCCTTTTGCAGTGTAAAGCGCAGCACACGGGCGCTCGCTCTGCACAATCGAGTCATAATTTTTCAACGCTCATGTGCGCGCGCGCGCGTGCACTTGTGTGCCTTCGATTCCAGCGATTAAATGCAAGAAACACCAGAGAGTAAAAGAGAGAAAGAGGTGGCCCGTGTACAAGGGGGGAGGGAGAAAGAGAAATTCCACTTGCAAAACAATTTTTTCTTTTTCTTTTCTTTTTTTTTCGCTTTTCGTTGCTGCACGAGAATTAACATCTGAGAATACATCGTATGCATTACCGCGACGCGCGCGCGCGAGCTCGTTCGCTCTGACTTTCCGTTACGTAAATAAAACTTTTGAGGAAACCGTACATCATTCGCGGCGAGTGCCTCCGCGCGCTCTTGCCGTTGCCTACTGCTATACTAGTACATATACCTTATATACTATAACGCGCGCTGCTTGCCGCGCACAAGAAGTGAGGAAAATATCCGCGCGCACGAAAGGGGGTGGAGAAATGCAACTCTCTTTCTCTCGCGCACACACACACACGCACACCAGCTCGAAAGATGAAGTAACTGCGCGCGCTAAAGCACAAGCCTAACAGTTAGATAAGCATTTCTGCTGCCACCGCTGGAGGAGCGCAAAATTTTTTCTCTCTCTTTCTCTCTCTTTCTCGGTGCAGACATTACATGCCGCGAGGCGACGAGAAGAAGACGTGAGTGCACGTACACAGCAGCGCAGCGCACAACCTTTATGAGCGACGACGACGACGACTACGAAAGGCCCCGCGCAGTATACTTTGTATTTTTGGCTCCGCTTTTAAATCTTCATTATAATACAGAAACTTGCGAGCGTAGAGAGAAGAAGCGAAGAATTTCGAGCTTTTAAATTTTACACTCTCGGCTTTGGTGCCGCGCGTCTGGGTCAAAGCGCGTGTGCCTCTACTACTGCCTCTCGAGCGCAGTTCTCTGTGTGTTTGTGTGTGTCTGTACTGTACACCTAGTTTAAAACGTACATCATTAATTATACGTTTTGTCGACGCGATACGCTGTACAACAACGGCAGAAGAAGCAGCTTACTTCTTTTCTCAGAAATATTTTTCGGTGCATTGGCTTCTTTCAAAACGTAGTAATAAAGTATCTCGCTGTGTCTGTCTCTTCTTTCGTCTGCTAGAAGCGTCTATTATATATAATAAACTTTTCGCATCGAAGCGGCTGCTGCTGCAGCGATTTTCAAGGTCGACGCACTCGCCTCGGCTATTATACATAGGGTAAAAGAAATGGAGGTGGAGAGTAAAGGGACGAGAGTCAGCCGTTGTGTTGTTTCCAGACTCTGCAACGTGGCTTGTGCCTCTCTCTCTCTTTCTCTCTCTCTCTCTCTCTTTTGCCTCCTCCTCTCTTCTATCTCTTTTTCTTCTTCTTTCGTTCTGCACTGTCTTCTACTTTGCGTGGAACTCGGGCTGTGTTGTTGGCTTTTACTTCGCTTGTTTTGACTTCACGGATATGCTCTCGGACATTTTTTTGATGTCTACGGTGGAAGACAGAGAGAGAGAGAGAGGAAGAGAGGCACGTTTTTTTCTTCCCCCCTTTTTTCCTTTTTTTTCTGTTCGCACACAACTTTATGAAAAAAGATTGGCCTTGCACGGCCTTGTTAATGCACACACGATTGGGTTAATTGCATTTTATGTGATTTCCAACGAATTGAATCAAAGAGATACGTCAGCGTACACCACGTTCATTTTTAACGAAGCAAAAAAATGTGTCGTGGAAAAAAGAGCCACTATGCGCGCATGATTATGTTTTTCATAGACAGTTCGCTTCAAAGATTAGGCTACTGTGTTGAAGAGAGGCAGTGATAATTGGCCCAATTGTTCCATTAAAGACGACGACTGCGGGGCGACAGCGACGCCGAGTTGCCGACTTTAGCTTGGTTCGCGCGGCATATTCGACTCGGTCGCCAAACGTTTATCGTCCATTAATCTCGATATATATCGAAATATTTTTGCGCATCGCATGATGAACGACATCTGGCCGCGGCCGAAGCTGCATCGATTCCAATGCGTCATAGAAGGCGATCATCGTCTATCTTTATCTCGGGCGCAGCTCTCGACACGCACATAATATACACAAACGCACACGTACAGGCGCACACCCACTCGCGAATCAAAAGTTTTGGCTAATAAACAAACCGGTTTCCCTCCGACTCCGAAAACGACCACGACGACGACAATAAACGATTATTTCGATGCTGATACGCGAATGCATCTCTCTCTCTCTCTCGTTCACTTCTTCTTCTTCTTCTTTTTTTCCTCTCGATGCACGCACTTTGCGATATCTCTCACTGCTCTTGCTCGGCTCGCGAAATTCAATTCAAGGCTAAAATCGTAAAGACGTTGCATTACGCGAGTGCAGCATGCATGTCTATATATATATATATATATGCGCGCTGCACTGTTACATGTGTGTAAGCTTGTTTCGCAATTGAGCTAGCGCACGATGACGCGATGACGACGACGACGACGACGACGACGACGACGACGATAGGTGGAGTTGAGATGTCGTTGTTAATGTTATTATTATTAAGTCATGCTTACGCTTGTTGTGTGTGCATTGCAGCAGAGGAGATTTGTCAACTCGTTTAAAAGTAAAGTACGACTTAAAAATCATCTTAAGTCGCTAATATCTCGTGCATATCTTTCTCTCGCTCTCTTTCTCTCTCTCTCTCTCTCTCTCTCTCTCTCTCTCTCTCTCGCTCGAGTTCACTGAAGTAGAGATAAAAATCGCAGTGGAGAAGCAGCTCAGCAGCAGCACCAGCAGCGGCGAAAACTTTTCTTTGTTCTTAGCCACCCACATATTACATTTACTGCATGCAGTATAATAGATCATGGAGTTTAGTGTATATAACGTTATAATGTCCTGCTTCTTGTCTGCGTATGTGTGTGTATGTGTATGTACGTGGATGTTTTTATGTATGCACGTGCGTGTGCGGTACTTTGGATTATCTCGTGATACAATACCGTCCATTGTTTTAAGGTTCGCGAAATATCGTAACAGGTATAATGAGGCGAGCTTGGCTCCGCTGCTGCTGCTGCTGATATACGTTATAGCGTGTACATGTGCACTCGTATGAGTGTAGCAGTAGCAGTAGCATGGGCAGGAGCCGATTTTACATATATATACGCCACATAATACACGAGCACGTTTGCGTAATTTATTTAACGGTAAAAACTAACGTGTAAATACCCGCTGAAGTTTGAGAAATTTTTTTCGTTTTGCCTTTTAGATGCATTCAAACGTCCATCGTTTCGGAGAAAGCATGTGTTTTCGTCGCGGTCAGCAGCACCTCGCGCGCGATCGAAACTATTTTCACTCGACTCGCGATTCTATTTATAAACATAAATATTTTTCATCTCTTTTGTTTCTCTCTTACGCTCTCTCTCTCTTTCTTCACTGGGGGTTATTCGGCCATTATAACACACAATTCGTTAAACGTCGTCGAATGTTTTTCGCGCGAGAAAGTCATTATCTCTCTCACGATGACGAGACTCTCTTATTTTGACTGGCGACAAAATACATGCACGCACACACACACACATACGCGATGACTCAGAGAGCATCGAAACACACGCGAGCGCAGCAGGGCCATTTAATTTTATATTATTCTCACTCTTTTTGTTGTTATCAAAACGTCACCGAAGCCGCGCGCTCGCATCGAAATCACAATATATGTATTTGTCAAAAAGCTCACGTACACGATACGCGCACAGAAGCGCCGAGCGAGATCGGTATTTTTTATATTCGTGCGCGCACGCGTTTTACTTTATGGCTTTGCGCTTGCGCTTCCATTGTATAATAGCTTATTGAAATGCGGCTAATGCATTCGATATCTAGTCAGCGGAGCGTGATCTCTTTTATGATATGTTAATTCGACGGCTTTAATTGCGTTTTCAAAATGCATAAAGCGCAACTGCCGCTGCCGCTGCTGCTGTCGCGGCGGCGATGGCATGAGCAGCAGTGCACGCATAGCGAGCACACACGACGTACGCGCGTGTGTGCATGCATGTGTCCGTCGCAATGCCATTGCATGATTCGCATACATATAATACCTACGCACATGCGGAGAGCACAGCGTCGCGAGCGTGGAAATAATGAAACAGCATTTGCACTTGCTTGTGTATGTGTGTGTGCGTGCGTCTGTCTGTGATACATGTACGCGCTAGCGCGAGCTGTCCCCGAGACTGGCGAGTTTTCAATTTCACCGATAGCTGGGGGGAAGGGGGTCAAACAAATATCACTCGCTCGCTGCTGCTACTGCTGCTCTGCATATAGTGCACTCGTTCGAGTTTATGCCAAAGCTAAGTAAAAATGTGAATCTAGCTTAGTAGGGGCTTGTGCACATTTCGACCAGTGCACCATTGTTATTATCCGTCGTACATGCCTCAAAATAGTGACAACCCCTGCGTACGCTGGATTCACGTTTCTATAACAGCAGTTGTGGAATTATATCGCGTTTCAACCAGTGTGTACCATACAGATCTGCCCATGGAGATGCAAATAAGCTAATCCGCAGCTCTTTAAAAAGACATTAATACCCTGGATACAGTCGACGAGAAAAAAAAAGAGGTGTAATCGTCGGTACAGCAGCAGCAGTGGCGCACCCGACCCTGCGCGCGCGCGTGCAGTTGTGTATATTAACGACGACAACAACAAAAAATATTCACACCCTCGTATACAACATGCATAGCGACGTTCAGCAGTCAATTGAAAGACTACTTGTCCGTGCATACCGGCACGGCACTTGGCTCGTTTCATCGCCATTCTTATTAATATTTTCCTCGTTTTTTTGCCTCTTTCTCTCACTCTCTCTCCCCTTCGTTTTTTTTTCTCTCGCGCTGTGAGTTCTCGTAGTAGTACATTTCGCTTAGCAGCAGCAACGGCGGCGGCTCATTTTGTCGCGAATGGATTTGCGATCGGTTCCGGAACGTGCCTGCGAGCACGTTTCTCGTACTCTCTTTCTCTCTCTCGCTCTCTTTCACTCTCGATCGTTTTGTCGCAAAAATGTTCCTTCTAGAGAGGATCGACGGAATTTTTTCGATGCCACACGTTTCTCTTTGACCCTTTTGTCACGCCTTCTCTGCACTTTTTTCTCTCCCTCTCTCTCTTTTCTACCACCGCGCGCGCGCTGCAAAAAAGGGCGCTGCTGCTGCGTAGCGTACATGTGCGAGGGAGAGAGCTTTTTTCAAGTCTGTCTTTTTTTAGTGGCGATTTAATATTCTTTTGTCGCAGGATCTATTTCTTTTATTTCGGTCTCTTTGCAAGAATCGTACCCGCGAGCTTTTTTCAGAACAGCTGATTATTTTCTTCTTCTTTTTTTTTTCTTTTGTATTTGCATTTAAATCAGACTTGTGTCGCGGTGCTCCGTCTCTTGCGTCACTATACATTAGGGTGGTCCACTTTTTCAAAAATTTTTTTAATCTTGGGGGATCCAACGGAATCTGAAAGTTTAAGGTTTAAAATGAATTTTCCCGTAAAGTAGAGTTAAAAAAAATGATTTTAGATGGTGTCGATGGATTTTTGAAGTTTTTTTTTTGACGTAAAAAAATCGCAGCCGACAGGAGGCACTTCGATAGTTTGCCAGATTTTCTATAAAGCCATAATGGGTTTTGTGAATACATTTTCTTTTGTATTTTTTGCCGTAGAATCGAATGCCATCATTAGTTTTGGGCTATAAAAAAGATTTCAGTGAAAAAATTGCGATTTTTGAATTTTTTTCTGTTGAAAAATCGAAAAATTCGTCTTTTCACGTCTGGCAAATGAACAAAAAAAATCGTAGAAGCTTTTAATCTACGGATTTAGTTAGGAAATTTCATAACAAATCGAAGCCCGTCATCGGTTTTTGCCTACAAAATTATTTTAAGTCATAAAATTGCGATTTTCCGTAGCTACGATTACGAAAAAAATCGAAAGATGCGCCTTTTAGCGTGTTAACATACACTGAATGTAGCTGTGAGCATTTTAACATGGTTTTTAATAGGATTTTTGGCGTAGAATCGAATGGCGTTGTTACTTTTACTCTTTTAATTTATTTTCAGCAACAAATTGCCTTTTTTGTAGTTTTACTAACGCAAAATATCGAAAAATGTTACTTTTGGCAACGTAAAAATTTATAAAATTATCTGATCATATTTCTTTTATAAGTAAAAGAACGTGATCCATCTTTCAGTTAAAACATGGTTATTAATTCACACGATTAAAAGACGGTTGTTGAATCACGATAAAACCGCTATTTTTATACATTGTGTGTAGTGGGTAGAAAAATGGAATCGAATGGAATAAGATAATTATATAAGTTATATTTTTATTTTAATTAGAGGTATTTCAAAAGTGGAAAAGTATATAAAGTTTTCAAAAAAATATATTTGATATAGTATTTTAGTCAAATCATAGACTTTTTAATTTTTTTTTAATTCTAATCGATCTCACGATCATCACGATATAACCGTTATTTTTATAAGTTGTGTGTAGTGTGTAGAAAAATGGAATCGAATTCTATTAATATCTATTACAGATTTAATATACGTTATATATCATATTCAAATTATGTATTGTTCTTTTTTAAGATAGTTTCATTAATTTATATTTTAATTCTAATTAGCGGTATTTCAAAAATTGACAAGTATATAAAGTTTTCAAAAAAATATATTTGATATAGTATTTTAGTCGATTCATAGACATTTTAATTTTTTTTATTTTAATTTTATTAGATTGTATCCAAATTGCAACAGAAAGTTGTTCCTCATAGCTTACCTTTCATTGTTGCTACACACAAAATTCGATACCACGAAAAAAATCCCGACAAATAACATGTTTGAATACTTACTAGACTATTTAGTTGATATTCTGGCGCCTAATGGTCATTTTTCATGTTTAAAAATTCAAAAAGGAGCGATTTCTCGTTGAAAATGAATTTGTAGCGTAAAAGTAACAACGCCATTCGATTCTACGCCAAAAATCCCATTAAAAACCATGTTAAAATGCTCACAGCTACATTCAGTGTATGTTAACACGCTAAAAGGCGCATCTTTCGATTTTTTTCGTAATCGTAGCTACGGAAAATCGCAATTTTATGACTTAAAATAATTTTGTAGGCAAAAACCGACGACGGGCTTCGATTCGTTATAAAATTTCCTAACTAAATCCGTAGATTAAAAGCTTCTACGATTTTTTTTGTTCATTTGCCAGACGTGAAAAGACGAATTTTTCGATTTTTCAACAGAAAAAAATTCAAAAATCGCAATTTTTTCACTGAAATCGTTTTTATAGCCCAAAACTAATGATGGCATTCGATTCTACGGCAAAAAATACAAAAGAAAATGTATTCACAAAACCCATTATGGCTTTATAAAAAATCTGGCAAACTATCGAAGTGCCTCCTGTCGGCTGCGATTTTTTTACGTCAAAAAAAAAACTTCAAAAATCCATCGACACCATCTAAAATCATTTTTTTTAACTCTACTTTACGGGAAAATTCATTTTAAACCTTAAACTTTCAGATTCCGTTGGATCCCCCAAGATTAAAAAAATTTTTGAAAAAGTGGACCACCCTACTATACATGCATACGCTCCACGGCTACTAATGCCAGTTATGAATTACTGCCAATCTATTTTTAATTTGAAAATAAGTCGATGCTCGTTTGTTCGCTAAATAACACGTACGTCTCTTTTTATTCTGTGATTGCAGAAGCCGAACATGGATACGCTTCCACAATGCCGATACCGGACGACATACGGTCGGTCACCAAGAGGCCAAAGACGAAAAAGTCACAAGGGAGCAGGTAAGAAGTCTAATAAGACAATTATTAACATAGCAAGTAACGGGCAATCATCTTATAGTATATATCTCAAAAAGCGATAAATACCTCGTTATTTTTTTTCTCCTCTGCATATTCTATTTCGTAAAAAAGAAATAAAGGCCGGCTTATCTTTGATGACGAGCGTATACGGCTCATTTATCTGTATCTCTATTCTCTATTTTTTTTTTTTTTTTACTTATAAAAAAGAGAATTTTTTTTTCATATTTTACTTATTATTTTTATATAAGTATACAGACCAAATGTGGTGACTCAGAGGAGACACTTCAACACGTCCTATGGGACTGTAATTTACACGAGGCCAACAGAAGCTCCCTCCTTAAAAATCTAGCACAGCTAAGCATTTACCCCCCAATTCAGTTTGAAAACCTTATCGCTCTCCCAAACATATACAAGCCTGCATCCACATGTGCAATTTCTTCACCCGCTGCAACCTAAACGTATAGATTCTCACAATGCCAATCAACACAACATCATTCCCTCAACTCAGTCGCATCAATTCATCTCTCAGCTACCGTAACAGCTACAGAACTTATGTACTGCTAAATATATCAAAATGTAAATATGTAAAAACTTAACTATTTAAGGAAATTAAATAATAAATTCATATACTTATGTATAAGCTTATGTATTTAGACGACACTTCTATGTTCAGCACATTCTTGCACAAAACTTCTAAAAATTCTGTTCTTTTTTTTTTCTAGTATATTTTTTATCCTCTTTTTTTGAATTTTTTTCTTTTAATTGTATACTCTCTGTTACTTTTCTTCGTCAAAATGCCAGCATATTATATAATTCTATTTATGTAAATCTGCAATTATTGTACCTGTCACTACCAAAAATGTATAAATATTATAATGTGCGAAATAAACGAAGTGTATATACCTTGTACGAGGTCCAATACACTATAATAAAAAAAAAAAAAAAAACTAAGTATACAGACGCTACTGAGACTGAAAACATTCAATCCGTACGCCCGCCTGCCCGTACGGACGCTCGTTTTTCACGGCTTGACCTCACGTACCCAACGCGCGTATAGAAGTTTTACTTCAAAAAAAAAGAGAACGGCCGAAAAGTGAGGCCGCGAAAAACGACCTCTGATTGGCTGACACTGACGACGACGCGAGCCGACTCGATACGTGCTCCTGCGCTGCTAACTGTCAACAGACAGTTAGTACTTAAGTAACCTCAAAACACGAATTAAAAAATTGATGCGTGCGAAGCGCGTTTGAAATTTAATATTTCTGAATCTTAAACTAACCTCGAAACACGAATAAAAAAATTCGAAGCGTGTGGAGCGCGTTTGAAACATACTAGTATTATAAATGCGCTACACGAAAAGAACGTTGTTTAACTGTGAAAATAGAGCCAAGAGTTAAATATTTTCATATAGAGTAATTTACCCAGTGATAGTGTTTCCAGTAATTGACTAATTTTGGATGTGCAATAATTGTACCTCTTGCCGGTCTTGTATGAATTAATTAGGAATTATTCATCAAATAATAGTTGTATTTTTAGGAAACGGTCAATCAGTTGGTTAATTGCCCTACACTGCTTATAATAAACAGGAGCCATTCAGACGAGCTCGATAAATCGTATACACGCTAGCTAATATGCATATTTATGTTCGTTTATAATAAAGCAATTGTCGATACAAATAGATAAAGCCGAGTGTGCGCGGATCGTTTATTGTCTCGCAGACATTGCGTAATTTGTTATACACACACACACGCATTCATAGGCGCGAAACCGAGCGTGAGAGATTTTTTTCTCCTGTGTATGCTGTTTTGGCGAATAAAATTCAATCGCTATATATAATTACAGGAGCGCAGCAAGGTCGCACGCACTCGTACTACTTATAGCAATGCTCGAGCTGCTTCGTTGGCAGTGTGCACACATACAACAAACGCGAATCACGGCAAATTCGAAAGCTACCATGTACGTAATACACGCGAGTCACACTTTTGAGAGCTCTGAATTGATTCGGACCGACTCGTTGGTTATATTTTTTTTCCTCTTCTTTTTTTTTCTTTTTTCTCACGAAATGCAATTAACGTCTCGCGAATCAAAAGTGGCTGCTGTGGCCTCTGCTGTGGCGTGTACAACTCGAGACAAGGAGCTCTCGAACGGAACGCGATATATATTTCAGCCTTTAACAATTCGAGTCACAGCAGTCAGTCAGTCAGTCAGTCAGTCGCCGTCGCTGCTGCTGCTTGACTGTATATATGCGTCTGCCGTACTATATGTACATGTAATTAACGATTGCGCTTGTGTGTGTGTGTACGCGCGCGAGCAAGCGGGAGATTATATATATAGCACGAGAGAGAACAATAACAAATGCGATAAATTTAAATCGTACGATCCTCTCTCTCTCTCTCTCTCTTTTGCTCCGTTTTTTTTCTTCTTTTTCAATGGTCGATTAAATAAACTCGTCGGCAAATTTTTTTCTCTTTTGCACGCTTCATTGTGTGCGCGTGTATATTTAACACGTGTCTTATTTGTTTATTATCTCTTCCAATTGTGCGAGATATATAACCGCTGTAGCATGCGAGCAGCAGCAGCTCTCCTGCTCTCTTTACTCTTTGAATGATAAAAGTTGACAAACAAGCTACTGTGCGGTGCGTAATAATACATGGAAGACTGACTCGCTAAGAGCCTTATTCACGTGATTCGTTATCGTTTACAGCGCTGCGTTTCTTCTCTCTCTCTCTTTCGCTCTTCTACTTTTTTTATATATTTTTTATTTCATTTCATTCGTTTCAACGGCATCATCGAAAACCACTTCTTGTGTATAATATTATATGCGGAATTATATTGAGAGAGAGAGAGAGTCGAATAAACATTGTGTACGTTTTTCTCTGTCCAGTGCGCATGTGTGCGAGCGTGTATCATTACTCCGATAATGAGCCAGAGATAAGGTGCAAAATTAAATTTTCATTATTATTTTTTTTTATGCACGATGCGTTCGGAAGCCTGTTTATATAATGAATTTGCCAGCTGCTGCTGCAACATTGTTTCTGCCGCGCTTGGCCATATTATAAAGTTAGCGTGGCGGCGGTGGCGGTGACGATGCCCGCAAAAATATTGCTCGCGCGATCGTAAAAATCTAGAGCCACGATAAATTGCATAATTTTTTTTCTTCATTCTCGCTCGAAACACGCGCATACACACATAAAGCTTCTACTACGTTGCTGCGAGACTTATACACTCGCAACACGCAAATTTTCCACAATGCACAAGCGGTGCCGGCGAGTACGTACGGTTCTAAATTTTCATTAGATTATTTATCATTTTGACTTGGACTAGACAGCCAACACACAGTATAGCGGCAGCAACGAGCTGTACATATATAATAATTTCAAATCGATCAACGTCACTCGCGTACACGCGGGCTCGAGCTCTAGCTCGCATACATATAACGTCCGAAAAACTTTTACCCCTGCAAATAAAAAAAAAATAAATAAAAATTCCACCTATGCCTGCGCGTGCTATACGTATGTGTGTCCGTATACGCGCGTACACGCAACATTACACGCCATTAGTCGCTCATACATATTTTAAGCTCGGTGGAGTAGTCGTCGAGGGATAGATTCGTGCAAAATGCCTAACACACACAGAGCGAGAGAGACACACGGCTACACGCACTCGTACGTCTATTGCCGAGCAATACTAAAAATTCAAACTCACTGCAACAGTAACAGCAGCAGCCACGCAGCAGTAGCGGCGGCGGCTTGTGAGCGCGCGCGTGACCCCGAGCATTATGCGCCGCTCTGGCTCCGCTGCTACGTTAAAGCCAGGGCACGAATTTCGCTCTCTTTTGTCGTTGGTTGACCGACGGGCGATTACTGTCGCACGTTAGTAACAGCAGCTGGTTTGCAATGACCCGACAATGCCCGCGTGGAAGCGGCCGTGTACACTACTGTATATATATATGCGTTTTATAGGCATATAGGATCGTCAACGTTGTGTATCAGCATCGCGCGTGTAACTATGGTTCCGGCTTTGTTTCTTTTCACGCGTTACTCTTATTCTCTCTTTTCTCTATTATGTATAGTTTCGCTTGGATGACAATATTTCTTTTTTTTTAGCAATTCTCGCCGTAAGAGAAAAAACACAACGCGATTCAGTCGCCTAGAAAGCCACTTACGTATTATGCATGTAGAACACGCGCCTTCAATAATGCACGATTTAGCCCAACCAACAGAGATATATTTAGAAGAAGGGTGAATATTGACGCATTGCACCTATACTGTTTCGACTTAATTATCATGTATAAGTCAGACTATCAGAGGAAAAATTTTTGCTTTTATATGTATTTTTGTACCGATACGTATTAATGCTCTTCTCTATTCTTTCTGTTCGCAGGACGACTCATAACGAACTGGAGAAAAACAGGTACGTCAAATTCACTGAAGAAGTATACGCAATCTTTTAATTTTCTTTTTTTAATAAAAGATTCACGCTCCAGTACTCGTGACTCGCACGCAGCAGCGAGGGGGTGTATCACTGAAACTACAAGTGTGGCATAAGAATAATCGTAGTCGTCGCATTAGCATTGCGAGTCCACACCCGTTTGACGTGTTCTTATATCCGACCCCATATAGCGCGAGCGCCGTTTCTTTTTCATATTGGCACGTTTGATATATAAATTACACGTTGCAGAGCACTTGTTAGGTTTGAAGAAAAGGAAAAATTGAAATTTGCAATGGATTATATTTTTCTATCGATATATCTGTCTGTCGGATTTAATGCATTCATGCTGCTATTCCGCGAACGATAAGTAAATTACACTGCCGGTGTTGAGTAATTTCGTAATTGCATCCTCGTTGTGATTTTTTTCTTCGGGAACTTTTGAGGCTCTCCATCATTGTTTGCTCATTAAAATCGTTTAAATAAATGCTGTATAAGCGGACGCATTAAATTCCGACAAAATATTTTTAAGCGCAACGACTGTTTAATGGAAAATCTATTTGAGCCAAGGCCTAAACAAACACATTACCTCGCGTTAATTCGGGACACATGAAAAGAAAAAAAAGAAAAAACAATAACAACAATAACTGAGAATGTTGACATAACACGACAATCGATGCTAATTTATACTTGCATACATATATACCGCGTCGCGGAGCATTTTTCACGTGAGTCATATAATATGCAATTTTCCACGTCACGCGATGAATAATATATAACCGATTCATCCGAGCAGTTTTTTCGATCGGGTTTGTTTTTTCCTCGCGTATATAAATTTCGAGTGCATCTCGTTTTTTTTCTTGCTGCTGCCTCGGCCCAAGGAAAATTCCCCAGTCGACTGCACTTTATTCAAAATTGAGACGTCGCTCTCTCTTTCTCGCTTGCACCAGGATGAGAAAAAGGTTAGGCCGGGCCAACGCTACTAGCTGAACTTCCTTTATTACTTTCTCTCTTTTCAGCAGACTTTAAGTGTGTTTTTATATATATACGTATATACAGGGCGCTAGAACCGTAGCTCCTTTCCCCAACGAAACTTTTAATTGGCTTTGAAATGTCAAAAATGCTGTAAATTAAGTCTTAATTGTTTGGAGCGCTTAAGCGGGTGAAGCACACACACTATCGCCAGGGCTTTTCCTTATATTTCTCATTGATTCGACTTTTTTCCGTCGATATATAAGTTCGAGATCTTTTTTACGTCGAGCACCGTATCATCAATTTTAACGTCCGGCTTTTGTGTAGTCGGATAATTCACAGAGAGGGATCGAATCGGAGCTTTCGAAAGCGTATACGCACTTTGAGCTCGTTTGCGCGCGCGTGAGCGACGCTGTAATGAACAGCGCGAGAAACTGCGCACACGAAATCCTGGGTAACGAGGGCGCGCAACCAAGTATATATATTCGTTCGACTGTGTAACTTTGGTTGGCCTCCAAAAAACGAAAAAAACAAAAACAAAAAAAAAGCCACACCAAGTTCAAAGAGTTGTGTGCTGTACTGTGCCCTTCGCGTGGAGAAAAGTTAACCCCTGGCACGCGTGTCCGGTCGGCGATTTTTCTTTCTTTTTTACGTTTCTTATGTGTATTTACCAAAGCGAAGGCACGGAAACAATTGACCAGCATACGTGTGCGTGCGTGTGTACGTACAGACGACCAGAGGGGCCGAAGAATTAGAGAAACTGGTTTCTCGAGTGTCGTCGATCTCAATGCAATAATGCTTAGATAGAGAGGGAGAGAGTGAGTGAGAGCATACCAAAGCGAAAGGGTGAAAAGAAGCGAAAGAGAGAGCGAGAGAGAGGATGAAGAGAGAGGGGAGGTAGACGAAAAAGACAGAGAGCCTGATTGAGTGGTTTATACATATTGTAGCGTCGAACAAATCGCGCATGTACCGTCAAAAAGGAGGTATAGGCGCGCAGAGAGAAAGAAAGAGAGAGAGTTACTTTGGTATGAATAATTATAATACACTACGTTCGCGCTCGCCATCGTGCCCTTATGGTATTTATAAATCACACTACTGGCTCATATTTCAGCGCACACCACGTCGAGCTGAGCTCGTATAATGTGTACACATAAAGCTCGGCCGAGTCATTACATCGGCACAGGTCTTGCGAAGAAAAAAAATAAAAGTGGCCTTGCATTATCATCTTTTTTCTTGAAAAAATCACCGTCCGCAGTACAGGTTTTACATTGGCGTTCCTTTATTTATTTTATTTTATTTTATTTTTTTTGCTCGTTGCTCGAGATAAGGCAATTTTCACTGCACCGCACATACGTACACGGAGCTCCGAAGCTTTTGTGCTGGACAATATCGCATTTCATTTCTCCTCCTCATGGCCGCTGAAATAACTTCGGGTTCTCTATCTCGTTCTCTGTCTCTCTCTCTCTCTCTTGTCGCTTGCCGCACGCGTTTCGTACATCAGCAGTAGTAGTAGTAGTAGTATAGCCGCGTTATATGCAACGAAGAAGAAGAGGTCAGGAAACTTGGGGCTCACTGCGAGAAAAGTGTTTGTCCGGGCGCTCGAGCTGCAACAATGGGGGCTAGTTACTAGTGGCTACCACTGCTGCTGCTGCTCCGGACGTCGCGTGGATATACGTGTGCGCATTCGTTGTCCCAAGCCATGACGCCGAGAGAGTATAATACAGTAACCTCGATTTTTGCTGCTGCTGCTGCTGCTTCACCGTGAATTTTTTCATAACTGCACAGGAATCGTAGTAGAGTTAGCTCGGCCAATTTTTATTTTTTACACACACAAACTATATACGTAATAAATAAATTGCACGAAATTGCCTTCGAAAGCTGTATAATATCGGCCTAAGAAAAGTGCGGAGAAAATGTTGTTCAGGGAAAAAGTATATGACCGAGTGCACGAGGTATGCTTTAGTATAATTACACTTGCGCCGGCACGTATGTATGTACGTAAACTCGCTTCCGTTTAATTCTGCAACGGCTCACGACGTAAAATCAGTGAAGTAGGGGCTCCGCCTATACCAGCTAGTATACCATTGTTGCACTCGACGCGCAGTGGCGAGCTCTATTACGCTGCTTTTACGTTACGAGCTGCTGCAGAATTAAACGCCTTCCACAGTATGTGTGTACGTATGAATGTGCACGAGCTGCGCGCGATACTCGGTAAAACGGAGAGAGAGAGAGAGAAAGAGAAAGAATAATGCAATTAGATCTGATTAACGTTCCGCGAGTTTAAAGAAAGGGAGTGTTTAAGGTTTCACTGGAAAACGGCTTAATCTTGATGCAAGAAAAAGAAATTAACCGACACGAAACGATAGGATTTTTTCTACTGCCTTTTAAATCATCTACAGGGTAAATTTATTTATTACTTAATGAGTAAAACTCTCTGCCTCTTGGCGTCCTTTGCGTATGCGAGAAATCTCAGGGGTTGACTGAGCGCGGCAACGGCGGCGGCGGCGGCGTCAGCGGCAAAAACTGCGTCATTAGGGAGCAACAAACTAAATAATAAAGCATGAAGCTATGTACATAGATAACCGGAGAAAAATCTGGAAAAAGGAGTGAGAGAGAGTGAGAGGAAAAAACTCGACTATGGGCAAGGGTATCAACGAAAAGCCTAATGGAATTGAAATTTTTTATGCTCTTTACACTAGTACTTTGCCCATCCTTTGACGATACGTCGTATACACAATTTTAAGAATTTATCCTGCGCACATGCGAGCGCGTGCATATACACACAAACACGAATAGCTGCGCCTGGCTCGCTATATACGTAGCAGCATTATTTTACCTTCACATTGAAAAGGTGTGCGTTATGACTTATGGCAGCGCTCGCGTATGTACACGCAGACATAAGCGCATTGATGCATATTATACTTGTGCGCGTATACATCCCAGAAGACCGGGAAATTACCTCGTTAAAAATTACGCTGTCATAAACGGACTGCGCAGCAGCAGCAGCAACATGAGTGCGCCGGTAGCGGCGTATATACGATGACTATCTTTCTCGAATGCGAAAAAACTATGAAAAATACATGCATATACAGCGTACGCACACGCACGTGCGAACTTGGAGAGCTCGGTAATGCGCAGTTGGCGCAAAATTTCAGCGACTAGAGAGATAAAAATCATTACTCTGAAAAATCTTTGCGTGCGCGTTTAAAACAATAATTGTTCTTTTCAAGACGATTTTTGTTTTAGTTAGCGAGTCTTTTGCAAGTTCATTAAAACGACTTGCTTCGCGCCAAGAGATAAAGAAACGATAAAAATAAAATAACGCCAATAAAGCAGAGAAAAATCCATGACACGCGCGTTGTGATTGAACGAAAGAAATAATTCATCCTACGTAGCGCAGCGCAGTAGGCATTACATCCTTTCGGGGTTGAAAACTGTCTCGGAGCTCGTGCTGCACACTGTTACGTGTATACATATATACATAGTAGAGCTGCCTAGGCTCGCGCGCGCAGCGTAAATAAAACCCACGTGGCCGGCGAAAGTGTGCAGCAGAAATGGCAGTTACGATCGATAACTCAACTCGCAGAGAGAGAGAGAGAGAGAGAGAGAGCTCTTTCAGTCGCGCAAAAGAGAGGAGGCGCACTCGCTGCGCGTCGACAACAACGAGAGCGAGAGAGAGAGAGAGAGAGAGGTGAGCTCTTGCCTTGTGTAAGTCTGCATGCGCGAAAGTAGGGGAGCGAGTTGATATTGATTTTTTCACCCCCTCTTACGGGTGTAGCGACTACTACCTTACACCCTGCCGCCGATAATATCGCCCCCTTAGTAGAGGGATGCATGTGTGTATTATACATGTGTGCACATGCATATACACGCACACGTTTATGGACGTGCGTCCTACTCAGTCTCTCTACTCTTTGTAGCTTTCACGACACCCGTGTGTGTGTGCATGTGTGTTATGCGTTAGCTGCTGCACGAGCGATATACGTACGTGCGGATGTGTATTAGCGCAACTTGCCTTACACACCCGATCAACTCCATGTAGTAGCAGCAGCACTGCTTAGCCGCGTGCAGTAGTGCTGCTTCTTTGTTTCTTGCTTAACTTTCGACGCGCGTAAATATAATGCACTCGTCGTATCGCGTAACTAATGCCTCGAAATTTTTCACCTCTCGCGCGTCTCGCGCGATGTGTATTTGTAATTGCATTTCTATTGCTCGAGCTGGGGCATCGTATAATATACTGCGTTTTGTTTTCGTTCCAAAACTTTGCCTACATATCTAGCGCTCGCTGGTATACATATAGATCTGCCCCTCTTTTTTGGCTCGAGTCTCTCTCTCTATGCGCGGCTGCTGTATTTTGTTTGAATAAGGGTGCTCACACGTGGTTGCAGCAGCACGCGTATGGAGCGGCGCAATTGCTCCTCGTGCACATGGCCAAAAAATCCATTCTCTTTCTCTCTCTCTCTCTCTCTAAAATGTTTTCTATCCTCGCTCGTCATCTCTGCGCTACTGTCGAATATATACATACCATATTATACACCCCGAGTCTGAAAGAAAGCCCATAATGTATAAATACGACTCTGGCACAATCAAGGGTGCAGTGCGTGTGTATGTCTGCTTTTGCTCGTGTTTATGTATAGCGAAAAAGGCACACCTATGTACCGTTTAGATATATGTTGAGATGTGTGTGTGTGTGTGTGTATGCGATATAAGCGACGACGTCTGTTTACAGCGTATTATGTAAGGCCTCGGCGTATTATATGCGGTGACATCATATATACGCTCGCACGCGGCTGGATGCGCCTCGAAATCTTCCATAAATAAATCTATATAGGTATATAGGTTCGCATGCACATACATGCGACGAGCACGTAGAAAAGCCGCACCCTGCTTTTTTGTCTGTGCATTGGCTGACCTTCGCGCTAGATTAAACTTGTTATTTATTTTTCACCTACATATAGATATATTATGTTTCCTTTTTTTCGAAGGATAACATACGCACGTGTTCGACTTTTTCAAAGGTCCAATGTCTCGCGTTCTCGAGCCTTTTACGATGTTAATTTCCAACGGAGTTGACTTTTTTTTCTACTCCAAAACGTTTTGCCTTCCATCTAAACCGGGCGCAGGAACACGCAAAGAGATGGTTTCAACGTTGGCACCGCGTGTATGCGCACACGCTCACACTTTTAGACATTCATCGATCGATCCGCAAGATTTTTTTTCACTTCTCTCGAGTACTACTTTTATTATTTTTTTTTTTTCGGGCGCTCGCCTTGCAAGGGTTCGCGCCTGGTCTGCTCTACGCTTTCGCATCGATATAGGCCCTACATAGCTGCTGGTAGCTGGTATATGCATAGTTGATCGAAATATCAATTTACTCCTGCGTCGTGGCGGGCGCAAGTTTTTGTGGCGTGTCGTCGCATAGGCCAGGCATCGATTCACTCTAGTTCCACTGCAAATTGATGCGGAACGATCCATAGAGGTTCGTTGAAAAAAAATATATATTCTTCTATTCGTAGTTCAAAGGAGTGGTAGTGATGTGGAGAGGGAGAGCCAAAATAACTATGCAGCGTAAAAGTCGAAACAAGCGGCCAAATTCGCCTGATTAAAAAACGTAAAAGGATATTACCAGCGATCGTGTGAAAGGAATGAAATAACAGGCCACATGCATTGCCCGAGTCAAATGAGAAAACCAGAGATGTGTGCGAGTAAGAGAGAGAGAGAGAGAGAGAGAGAGAGAGAGAGAGAGAGGGAGAAAAGCGAAATGCGCCGAGTATTGCAATTTGACTTTGGCATCTGGCACGCCGCAGTGCTACTGCTGCCACTGCTGCCTCTGTGCCTGCCCTGCGTACACACACACACACACATATACCTACACGTACTCGGGCATCGGGATAGTTTATGTTTACGATAATCCCAAGCGTGGCTGCGTATACTGCGTAGTATATATACGGGGCACGGCGCGAGTAAAGCGTAAATTCTTTAGAGGACCCCTAATACGACCGAGAGAGCAACCCCCCGCGCGCGGCCTAGGGTTCTCCTGCGTGTGACTGTACGTGTATTTTCGAGTGCGTCTGTAGACGTGTATGCCTGCATGTATATGTGTGCGTAAATATACACAAGCTTATGTACGGTATACATTTTTGCCTTAGCCGAGAAAAAAAAACAGCAGCAGCAAAGCGAGTAATTTGAGATGAGCGCACGCTTATATAGAGGTCCAACGGAAAATTACCTTTTTAAAAGGGAGGGTAACGAAGTATGCATGACGTCTTATCGTGCGTTGTCCCGAGCTTTATATTTATACACGCACACAACATGAGCAAGGGCTATAGGATTTTTAATCGGATAAAACTATGATACTCGTCGGATTTGCGCTCGACATGTTTATTACGCGATTGTGCAAGTCGAGGCCCTGAGAAAGAGACATGAGTCGACGAGAGTCGGAGAGAGAAGAAAAAAAATTGAAAAGTATGAGCCATATATAATACTTATAAGTATTGTTCGATGCATCTTCGGCTGTGCAGTGTGCATGTATATGTGCGCAGGGACTACACACGAATGCATTCATACGTGCGCGCGTGTGTGAGTTCGGTTTCCATAACGTGACCGCATTAATATGTTAGTTGCGTATATATCGTGGCATCAGAGAGCAGCGCAGCTCAGCGAGGGCGACTACCGATCCAGGCGGTATATAGTTGCATTTATAGAAATATGTGTGTGTGTGTGTATGTGTGTGCGAGCTTGTGTATTTGAAATTCCGTTCTCGCATCGAGCCACTGTATGGCCGCGGCAATTTTCCTAGGTCGGCGGTGTACGCTATACGCTTCCCAAATTGTATCCCATTTCCAATTCGCTCTTTGCCCTCCTCTCGCGAGCTCGCTCGTGCGCACGTATACGCGCATACATTCATGCATACACAGCTGCTGGAAATTTCATCGTCGCGGCAGATAGAATTAGCTCGCCATGGGAATATAATACAATGCATTTTAACGGATGAGCGAGAGTAAGAGAAAGAGGGAGGTAGAGAGTATACAGAGAAACGTATCGAGTACGTAGTTATAAAAAAAAATGTTGTTTTTTTTGTCAAAGCCTATTCGAGCG